TCAATAGAACTAAACCCTTCGCTACTCTCACTGAAGTCCTGTGCTTTACTACTCCTTACTTTGTTACCACCTAAAACACTACTCACTGAAGCCTTCTTTGGGGTTCTTTTCTGTCTCTTTGAAACGGCAAACCTGGCTTCTGTCAAATCTGGCTTCTGTGAAATCAGTGCCTTTGAAAATACGTGTAAAACTTTATCAGTAAAAAAAAGGAGGCTGGAGGGTCACTCTCAAAAATAATGGAGAATTTGGTGGTAAGAAAATAAGAGGAGGCTGGTGGCTCCTCCTAATTAAAATAAAAAGATGAACCCTAAACTAGCAGTTCACATGGGAAAAGCAAGGAAAGAGATGGTCATGAAGAACCCTCCTGGGGTCAGAACAAACTCAAACATGGACTTAGAAAACTTCAAAACGGCCATTATAAATGTTTAAAGAATAAAGGAAGCCATTTTTAAAGTTACAGGAAGCTATGATGACCATGTCTCATCAAATATAAAGTATCTATTAGGACATATAAATTATAAAAAAGAATCAAATAGAAATTCTAGAGTTAAAAAGTACTACAAGGGCATCTGGCTTAGCCAGTAGGGCATGCAACTCTTGATCTTGGGGTCTTGAGTTCAAGCCCCATGTTGGACACAGAACCTCCCTTTAAAAAAAAAAATACTATAAACAAAATGAAAAATTCACTACAGGAACTCAATAACAGATCTGAACTGGCAGAAGAGAGAATCAGCAAACCTAAAGATAGACTGAAAAAGAGTGTGCAATCCAAAGACCAGAGAAAAGAAAGAATAAAGAAAAATTATCAGAGCGTCAAAGAAATGTGTAACACCACTAAGCACACCAACATATGTGTAACAGGAGCATCAGAAGAAGAGAAGAAAGAGAAATAAGAAAAAATATTTGAAGAAATAATGGCTGGAAACTTTCCGAGTGTGACAAAAAACAATCTATACATCCAAGAAAGTCAACAAATTCCAAGTAAGATAAACACAAAGACATTTCATAGTAAACATGGTAAAAGACAAAGAGAAAATGTTGACAGCAGCACAAGAAAAAACATACATCATTGCCAAGTACAAGGGAATGCTAATAAGATTAACAACTGTTAAACAATAGAGACCAGAAGGATGGTATATTCAAATTTCTGAAAGAAAAAAAACTGTCAACCAAGAATTCAGTAGAAACTGTCTTTCAAAATTGAAAAAAAATAGAAACATTCTCAGAAAACAAAAGCAGAGATTTCATTGCTAGTGGACCTACCTTATAAGAAATATTAAAGGAAGTTCAAGCTGAAAGCAAGTGACCCAGAAGGGAATTCAAAGACAAAGACACCACACACACACAAACACACACACACACACACACACACACACACAAGCTCCACTAAAGGTAATTATGTAATTTTCAAAAATAGAAAAACACCATTTCTTTGACTTTCTTCTCTTGGTTTAAAAAACAATTGCAACTTAAAAAAAAAGAAAAAGCAACTGCATAAAATAACATCTTAAAATTGTATTGTTGAGACTATAAAATATAAAAATATTTTCAACATTAACAATACAAAGGAGAGAGGAGCAAGACTGTACTGGAACAAGCAAATGACACCAGACGGTAACTCCATCCAAAGAAACAAATGAAAGAATTAAGAAATGGTAAATAAGAAGGTTAATATGACAAACTCTATATATACTTGCTTGCCTTTCTTAGCTTCTTTAACACATTAAATTATAAAAAAATAATAATTATAAACTGTGTATTACTAGGTTTATAACATATATATATATGTAATATATATAACAGTAATAGTACAAAAAGGAGGAAGAGAAGATAGAACTATATAGGAATAATGCATCTATTTCTCACTAAAATTAAGTTAATCTAAACTTGAAGTAGATTCTGATACAATGTATTAGAGTAAGCCCTAGAACAACCACTAAGCAAATTTTTTAAATAGTGGGAAAAAAATTAAAGCAATTAAAATGTGCTATTAGAAAATATTTACTTTACTTCAAAGTATTTACTTATTTCAAAAGAAAGCAGTAAAAAAAATAGGGGAACAAAAAATGAGACAAAAAATAAATAAAATGGCAGACTAAATCCATGTATAATAACAATATTAAATATTAATAGATTAAACAATCAAAAAGGAGAGAATGTCTCATTGGATTTAAAAAAAAAAGGGGGGGTGCCTGGGTGGCTCAGTCATTAAGCGTCTGCCTTTGGCTCAGATCGTGATCCCAGGGTCCTGGGATCGAGCCCCGCGTCGGGCTCCCTGCTCCATGGGAAGCCTGCTTCTCCCTCTCCCTCTGCCCCTGCTCGTGTTCCCTCTCTCACTGTGTCTCTCTCTGTCAAATAAATAAAAAAAAAAAAAACAAGATTCAACCGAATGCTACCTACAGGAAACACACTTTAGATTCAAAAATACAAACAGCCTGGGGCACCTGGGTGGCTCAGTTTGTTGGGCGTCCGACTCTTGATTCTGCTCGGGTGGTGGTCTCACGGACATGGGATTGAGCCCTGGTAACACTTCCCAGGGTGATCTACAGATTCAGCACAATGCCAGCTGGCTTCTTTGCTGAAACTGACAAGCTGATCCTAAATTTCATATGGAAACTCAAGGGACCCAGAATAGCCAAAGGAGTCTTGCAAAAGAACAAAACTGAAAGACTCAAACTTCCTAATTTCAAAACTTACTACAAAGTTATAATAATAAAGACAGTGTAGTCCTGGATTAAAGATTAAAAAATTAACCACAATGAGAATCCAGAAATAAATCCTCACATTTATAGTCACATCATTTGACAACAGTGCCAAGACAATTCAATAGGGAAAGAATAGTTTTTTCAATAAATGGTACTGAGGGAATTCAAAGACAACAACAAAGACACACACACACACACACACACACACACACACACACACACACACACACTGGATTTTCTCTCTATCCACATGCAGAATAATGAATTTAAACCCCTTCCTCATGCCACACAGAAAAACTAACTCAAAATGAATTAAAGACCTAAATGTTACAGCTAAAACTATAAAACTCTTTGAAGAAAAAAGAAGGAAATCTTCGTGGACTCAGATTTAGCAATGGACTCTTAAATATAACACCAACCACAAGCAGCAAAAGAAAATAAATAGATAAATTGGGCATCATCAAAATTAAAAACTGCTTCAAAGGACACCATTAAGAAAGTGATAAGACAATCCACAAATTGGGAGAAAATTTTTGCAAACTGTGTATCTGATAATGGACTTGAATTTAGAATCTGTAAATAACCTCTATAACTCAATAATAAACAAATAACCCAATTAAAATGGGCAAAGAATCTGAATAGACATTTCTCAAAAAAGATAAACAAATGGCCATATGAAAAGTCGCTCAACTTCATTTGCCATCAAGCAAATGCTAATCAAAACAACAAGATACTACTTCACACCTATAAGCATGGCTATAACAAAAAGACCGAGCAAGAGTTGATGAGGATACAGACAAATTGGAACTCTCACTCAACACTAGTAGGAAGGGGCAATGGAGCAGCTGCTCTGGAGAAATAGTTTGGCAGGTCCTCAAATGGTTAAAAATAGAATTACCACTCGTAGATATATACCAAGAGAAACGAAAACATGTCCACACAAAAATCTGCATACAAATGTTCATAACATTATTCATAATAGCCAAAAAGAGCAAATAATCAGGGGAGCCTGGCTGTTTAGTTGGTAGAGCATGCAACTCTTGATTCCAGAGTCGTGAATTCAATCCCCACGCTGGGCACTTACTTAAAAATAATAGTAATAGGGCGCCTGGGTGGCTCAGATGGTTAAGTGTCTGCCTTCGGCTCAGGTTATGGTCCCAGAGTCCTGGTATCGAGTCCTGCATCGGGCTCCCTGCTCCTTGGGAGCCTGCTTCTCCCTCTGCCTCCCTCTCTCTCTCTCTCTCATGAATAAATAAAAAATAAAATCTTTAAAAAAAATAATAGTAATAATTTAAAAAGTGGAAATAATGCAAATGTCCATCAACTGATGAATAGCTAAAATAAATGTGATATATCCACCCAATGGAATATGTAGCAATAAAAAGAAATGAAGTACTAGTATACATGCTCCCACATGGATGAACCTTTAAAATATTATGCTAAGTGAGAAAAGTCATTCACAAAGGACCACGTGATTCCATTTATATGAAATGTCTAGAACAGGCAAATCTCTAAAATAAGAAAGGAGAATAATGGTTGCCTAGGCTGGGGGGTGAGTGTTGAGGGGAAATGAGGAATGATTACTACTGGGTATAGAGTTCTTTGGGGGATAGTGAGGCAATGCTCTAAAACTGTCGTAATAGTTGCATGATTCTGTGAATATACTAAAATCCACTGAAGTATGTACACTGTAAAGGAGCGAATTATATGATATGTGAATTATAGCTCAACAAAGCTGTTAAAAAAAAAATACACGGAGCAAAAGTTACAGAACTGAAAGAAAAAAGACAACACAATTTTACTTGAACACTTCAACACTCCTCAGTAACTATCATACCATGATTATAGCAAACGTCAAATTAATCTCTGTTGAAAATTTATAGTGCTTTTTAAATCAGTAAAAGAAACTTTTTCTTTTTTGCATAGTATCTTCAGTTCTGGTTAAAAGAAGGTATATGAGAATATTTCAACAGAATCCACAAAAAATAAAGGGAAAATGCAAATCTCTGGAAAACCTATTAAGGAGAATTTACATATTTATCTCCTTCAGGATTTGCCTGATAGCCTCTTAAATTATTACATATTTTCCTGTTTCTTTCTTTCTCAACTAGAATACAAGGTGCAATTTTCAAACCGCATGGGTATTTTTCTCTGTCATTTAAATAGAATTTGTTCCAGCAAGCACGAACTACAGGCTATCTTTTTAATTTTCCATCATAATATAAACAAAATGTCATTCAGGTATGTAAATTTTCAATATAAACATCAAGTACAAATTTTCCATATATGTATTACCTGATCAATTCCCTTTCCTTTGCACTGAAGAATGATGACTTCAAGAAGTTTGGCTGCATGACATTCTGCATCTTCTCCTGCATCTCCACATAGTACCTACAATAATTACAATTCAACTCAGCAGTGAATGGCATTGCATAGAATTTGTCTACATGAAGCAAATATCCCATAAAAATTCGGGCATTAGAATCATAGCTTTGGGGCACCTGGGTGGCTCAGTCAGTTAAGTGTCTGCATTTGGCTCAGGTCATGATCCCAGGGTCCTGGGATCCAACCCTGCATCGCAATCATCACAATCACAATAAAGTAAGCTATATGAGTTAATTGTCCAGATAAGTGAAGCTTCCCTTTAAAGGCAACAAAACAATAAAATGAAATCAAAAGAAATTTTAAAAAACCTTCCATTTAAACAATGAAACAAACTCTGTAGTTTTGTATTTCTTTTGAGTTCATTTTTTCATAATAGTAACCATAATTTACTATCACACACCTTTTAATTTCTCCATATGGAATTTATAACTACAAACATCTTCCATGGATGTTATAACCATTTAGGACTATAAGTATTACAGTACATAAATATAACAGTTTACCAGACCATTCCTCTATTGTCAATTTTGTATTTCTACTAGTATAAATAATTCTACAATGCACAGACTCATACATAAAAATTGGAATATAATTGCCTTACAATAAGGTTCCCAGAAAAGAGGTTCATAGAGTAGAGCCATGCTTATATTGGAAATAAGAAAATATGGAAAAATTAGTAAGAGTTCAAACACGAGCTATAAGAAAAAGAACAGACTTAACCTGAAGAGGAGACAGAAATTAAAAATACAGACAGAAAGAGGTAACAGAGAGAAACAAAAGACAGACTCACTGAAAAAAGACAACAAAGTGGACTTTTGTCAAAATTATTCTTAAAAAGCACAGAGCAAAATTATGAAAATATTAGAAATGAAAAAGACATAAATACAGGTAAAGGAAAGATTAAAATAAGCAAATACTATGGAGAACATTATATTCCTTATATATTTGAAAGCTCAGATGAATTGGATAATTTCCTAGACAAATACAATTTAAGAAAACTGAATTAAAAAGAAATTCCAGATAAAGAAGACAGATTGAACATTCTCATTTAATTTTATTACTTCCCAAAAGACCATTAAAATAATAAAGAGGTTTTAGAGGCATAAATCCACAAAGACAGAGGAAAGGAAAAAAGTAGAGAGCTATTAAATTTTGGAAATTGGAAAACAGATGGATCAGTGAACTGAATCACAAACAGGAAGCTGGCAAAGCCAAAAATCAGCCCTATAAAATTTAAAATTCTACTTCTTAGGGCAATATATCTACATTTAGATTCTAAACGTGAATGGGCTCTGGAACCAGAATCCCTTGGTTCAAATTCCAGCTCTGCCACTTATTATCTGTGCTTTTAAAAAAGCTAATTAAGGGGCGCCTGGGTGGCTCAGTCGGTTAAGCGACTGCCTTCGGCTCAGGTCATGATCCCGGAGTCCCGGGATCAAGTCCCACGTCGGGCTCCCTGCTCGGCGGGAAGCCTGCTTCTCCTTCTGACCCTCCCCCCTCTCATGTTCTCTGTCTCTCATTCTCTCTCTCTCAAATAAATAAAAATCTTAAAAAAAAAAAAAAAGCTAATTAACCTCTGTGTCTTACTGTCCCCATCTGTAAAAGGACGATAATATACTTACGTGGCAGGGTTGTAGAATACAGAAAGAAAAAAAAACACTCCCTTTGCCCCAAATTGCATTTACTTGGGTTTTTTGTTGGTTGGTTGGTTGGTTTTTGTCCCCACCTCCAGAAGGAGAAGAAAAAATATATATTTTGGTAATTTTAAAAATGGGCTCTGGAGCCAGACCACCTGGCTTCAAATATGGCTCCAACATAGACTAGCTCTGTGACAGACAATTTGACCCAGGCATGATGCAAAAAATTGTGCCTCGGTCTCCTCTTTGACCAAAAGGTGATCCTTTCCTCATAATGTTGTAAAGATAAAATAAGTGAATATGTATAAAGTACTTAGGAAATGCCTCATATGCAGTAAGAGTTCAGTATTAGCTATTATTAAAAATCAAGAATACGACATATATTTTAGCCACTTGTTAAGTCTAAGACATCACTGTGAATATCACTTTTTCCCCAGCTGCTAGAATACGGAGCAGCTGTACTAATGGGTGTAGGACTGCTATGTTTTCTGCTTGCTGCTTTCTCTTCCCTTTTGCCTCACTAGCAACGGTCTCCACAACTTAGGAGAGGATACTGAAGACTGCCAAGTGATTACGATTTAATAAGCTAGGTTATTACAGGGCTAACCAGGTCTTCAAAAATCATGATTCTACCCCTTCAGTTTATATGTGATGAAACTTAGCGACCTCCCAAAATCTCCCAGGCTCTTTATGACTGAACTGAGACCTCAATCAGATGTGCTGATTATCAGTTCAGAGCTCTTAACATCTTGGTACACATCTCCGCTAGTGAGGAAGATAGGTTGTACACTAGATATTTTACTCCCAAGGCCAAACTTAAGTATCTGGCAGCCCTATGCAATGCAGTTTTATATTTATGTATATATAAATATTCACCTAAAAGAGAAGGAAAACATTATTTATACTCATCAATGATTGCAAGATATAACCAATGGAGGGCGAAATCTAATCTGTGACAAAGACAACATAGTAGACAATCCTGTTTGTATGTAAATATAAGAGTAGCCAGTATATGGCTAATAAATCATCCTGTACTGAGCTAAATGATGCCGTTTTTCCAACTATTCCGATTTTTTTGTCTGTTATTTATATTCAAAATATATATATATCTAGTGGTTTCCAATATACACATTCAATTAAAAGAAAATCAGTGATTGACAAACTGTGTGGTTATTTTCTTAGCACTTTGCTTTTCTGTTGTTGGGATTTTTAATAACACTTTTCTTTAATCAAGTAGTAAGTTTGCATTTTTGAAAGAAAAAACACAAAATTATTTATCCTAAACATTATAAAGTACACAGCTACAAGAGTGGCAAACATCAGGAGTGCCTGGGTGGCTCAGTTGGTTGAGCATCTGACTCTTGGTTTCAGCTCAGGTCATGATCTCGGGGTCATGGGATCGAGCCCCGCATCAGGCTGTGTGCTTGGCACACAGTCTGCTTGGGATCCTCTCTCCCCCTCTGTCCCTCCCCCAACTCGCACTCACACACACACACACACACACACTCTCTTTCTAAAATAAAATAAATAAATCTTTAAAAAAATAAATAAGGGGCGCCTGGGAGACTCAGTGACTCAGTCGTTAAGTGCCTGCCTTAGGCTCAGGTCATGATCCCAGGGTCCTGGGATCGAGCCCCGCCTGCTTCTCCCTCTCCCACTCCCCCTGCTTGTGCTCCCTCTCTCCCTGTGTCTCTGTCAAATAAATAAAACTTTTTAAAAAAATAAAAAATAAAATAAATTTTAAAATTAAATAAATAAATAAAAGTGGCAAACATTCTTAAGCACAACACGCAATATAAAATTTTCAAATTACAATTCCAGGGTCTGGAATTAGAAATGTTATTAGAAAATAAAAAATAGCAAATGTATGTTGAAGGCAACACAAAACTAAAGTATAAGAAACAAACTGAAAGAGCGTCCTGAAGTAAAACACTCAAACATTAGTAAGAACCACTATAACAACTGATTAGGGCACACTTACCTTTCTACACATTGTAAAAAGTATTTCTAAATGCTTTGGATTAGATAATAAAGTATCTGTATCTATTGTCACATAATTATGCAAGAGAGGCATCATATCTGGAAAAAAAAATTCAAAAGCCCAATGAGATTTGAGTAACAAGAGTAGAAATAAATTATTCCCACCGGAACCATATTTCTGTAGCACCCACACATTACTATCTTCCCCCACAACCACAAAATGCTAGTAACAAAAGTGATAGAGCTGCTCTATTTATAGACGAGGAAGATGTGGATCAGAAAGATTAAAATGCTCATCATTTATTATAGTGATTGTTCTGAATTTTTGTCTTTTTCTCCATAGGAGTCATCACCATTTGACAAACTATGTATTTTCTGGCTTGTCTGTGTGTCCCCCCACCTTCCCTGCCCTCTCCCCAACTACAATGGAAGCATCAAAACAGCAAGAGCTATTTGGCTCACTGCTGTACTGCTGTGCTTAGAACAGTGCTTGGAATATAGACAGTATTCAGAAAATAGTAATTGAATTAATGTATGGGTATATGTTCTGACTGCAAACTAATTTAAGATACAACAGGAAACAGTCTCCCTTCTACTGCCTATATTCCCAGAGCTGCAAAACACTGCTCCGATGGCACCACCCTTTCCTCCACGGGGAAAGAACAATTATCTTCTGATTAGTACTGGAATTGTATGTGTCTTTATGTCAAGTGTCAAAGGAAATAATGTCTAGATACAGAAAAGCAAAAATGTTAGATAGTCAAAGCCATACCTGTAAAGTATTCAAAACAATCCTGCTGAAAAACCTCATATAATATACCTAGCAGCTGCCACATTTGAGGAGAAATACCATGGCAGGTTAAACTATATGCCAGGGAAAGAATTTCTTCATAGAATTCTAGAAGGAAGAAAATCTCTAGTTAGAATGCTAGAAAACAGGAAAAATTAAACACAAAGACCACAGTGAGGAAGATTTAGGCTACCCACTCGCATACACTCCTCTTACACCCAATATACTTTGAGCACCCCTTTCTCGGCATTCCCATCTTCAGCTACTACATTTGCCACCTTACATTTCTTACCAAGATCTGCCCCTTACCCAATAAGACAGCGCAAAGATTCGTTTTTACTGAACTTACCCATAATACTGGAAATATGTATATTTTTGATACTGTGTAACTAATAAAATATAGTTTATATTTCTAAAGCTATGTTAGAAATGGATACAAGAGGGGCGCCTGGGTGGCTCAGTCGTTAAACGACTGCCTTCACTGCCTTCGGCTCGGGTCATGATCCCAGAGTGCTGGGATCGAGCCCCACATCCGGCTTCCTGCTGGGCGGGGATCCTGCTTCTCCCTCTCCCTCTCCCCCTGCTTGTGTTCCCTCTCTCGCTGCGTCTCTCTATGTCAAATAAATAAATAAAATCTTAAAAAAAAAAAAATGGATACAAGAAGGAATAGGTTGTGGTACATCTCTCATGTACAGGATTTTTAACCTACAAATAATTAATATTCTTTGGGAAGCTTAATTAAGCTAGGCTAAAATATCTTCCTGCCTCACATATGTTTACAAACTATATTCTGGACCATATTTTGTCAATTTACAAACCTTGTAAAATTTGTATTTACCACAAGCCAATTATACCTACTATAAAGAGTCCAAAGGGAATGCTCTTGTATTTGCATATATATTTATTATTACCCTCTGTCAGAAGGAAATCATGTATAAACACACAATGAGAAAACATGATTCTCAATACAAAATTTTCAAATAATTCCTACCATGTCACTAAGCAAAAGTCTGTTAACTTCAAAAGTTTTTTTTTTTCCTCTTATTTAAAAGGAACTAGGTACGCCTGGGTGGCTCAGTGGGTTAGGCGTCTGACTCTTGATTTCAGCTCAGGTCATTATCTCAGGGTCGTAAGTTTAGGCCCCACATCAGGCTCTGCACTGAGCGTGGTGCCTGCTTAAGAGTCTCTCTCACCCTCTCCCTCTGTCTCCCCACCTCCACTCCTGCACGCTCTCTCTCAAAAAATTTAAAAAATCTTTAAAAAAAATAAAAGGAACTCAGGGCGCCTGGTGGCTCAGTTGGTTAAGCGACTGCCTCCGGCTCAGGTCATGATCCTGGAGTCCCGGGATCGAGTCCCGCATCGGGCTCCCTGCTCAGCGGGGAGTCTGCTTCTCCCTCTGACCCTCCCCTCTCTCATGCTCTCTCTAGCTCATTCTCTCAAATAAATAAATAAAATCTTTAAAAAAAAATAAAATAAAATAAAAAATAAAAGGAACTCATATTCACCCTCGACACGCTTGGAGTTTTTTTCTGTAACATTATTTAAAACACTCTATTCAAAAGCTAATAGATGTTTGCCTTACCAAGAGCAAAATAAGATGGAAATCACAGATGTTGGGAAATAATTTGTTACATAAGACAATCACTTGAAAAGCAGCACTATCTGAATATGAAATATCTGAAAGTTCTGTTTATCATCACTCCACACCTTGGATATGAGGAAAGGAGAGCAAATGCCTCTTCCTAACATGAAGCCTGAAGACAGAAAAGGGGCCCGAGATTTCCTTGCACACCCTTGACAGCTTCAGTACGTAGGCACGACCCAGCCACTCCAATGCTGAAGATCAGGCCTTTGAAACTTGACAGAGAAACTAGAAGGCATGAAGCTGTTGCAGATTATTTTTTGTGGCTGTACTAGAGTCTGGACTGTGGTGGGCAGCAGTGCAGGACCCCGTGTTGATAAAGGCAGCACTGGCCTCTTCGGCAGACCACTTCTAGGGCACAATCCTGGGGCTCCAACCAACTCCAGCCTCCCCACAGATTCAGTGAGCTACCAAACACCCTTCCACTAAATTCCATTTACGCCTGAATGCAGCAAAAGTTATTTCAAGCATTCTCAACCAAGAAGACTGACTGTTAGGGTAGGATGGTTGTACTTACTTTGACTTCCTGCGTAAGATAAAGCAGTTGAAGCAGTTAATAGCTAATCCTGGCTTCTAATAATAAGTGAAATTTTAGGAGTAAATTAGCAATGAAAACAGGCCAGGGAAAAAATGAAAGTGGGACAATGGAAAGAGACTAGACCATGGACACAAATGAAGTCAGGCTGCTGGGGTGGAGGTCCTGGAATAAGAGAGTCAGCCCATATATATACATATATATATGCAGAATATATATATTTTTTCTTATCTAAGATCCTGTATAGCCAAATATTGGTTCAAAATGGGCCATTAACATTACAGCTAAAAACGTAAGAAAGATCATCCATCACCTTAGGGCTAGGGATGGGATATCAGACAGGCAACTGGAGCCATGGCTTTCTCCTCTACCCACTGCAGCCAAAAATAGGGCTGTTTCCTTAACATCCTGATGTTGCAATTGCTCAAATCAAACAGCTGGGGGAGGTAGATTAGAAGGTTGGTATAAATTATTTCTCTTCGCCTTACTTCATGGTTTCACTCCTCAAGATTACTTTACTTTAAATTTACATGGAGAATCTTCAGTTACAATCTCTTCCATGAATAAGGGCATCAGTGAATATATTCTTTTTTTGCTTATCAGAATCTCTAGGGTTACGGTCCAGAAATATCATTTTAACTGGCTCCAGGTGATTCTTATGCACACCAAAGTTTGAGAACTACTGCTTTATAGCAATGATTTCAAAAGGAAGGAGGTTGTACCTAGGCAGTGTACAAGATAATCCACTGAGAATGGAAAATAATGTATTACAACACTTTATATATATAGACATTTAATCCCATCCTTCTACATTTCTATTTTTATGGATGTAAATGTAATTTAGTAGCATGTATATTGCCTATAATATGCATTCAAATATTATTCACCTATATTAGAAGTACATGCTCAATTTTTTACTAATGGTATGAATGATAAAAAGTTTGGAGACAACCACTCTTAAGCAGTCACATGCTTTTCTTCCACCTTTCTGTCTGCACACTATAAAGGTTGCATCTCCCTCTTGCCCACATGACTTGGGGCTGCCACCTTTAAAATGCTTGGATACTATGGGAAAACAGTCTCCTCTACAAATTGCCGTCAGTTTGCAACATCCTGATTCTATTAGTTACTCATTCTATTCAGAAGTCAGGCATTATAATATAACAGAACAACAATTATTTCATACTTCTGAGAGGACATAGGTCTAACATTTCACATTTTTCAATTCCAGATTAAAGTTACTTCACCTGAACCTCATCCCAGTTCTTCCTTTCTAAAAACATAAAATTTAAAGTTCTCTGTCCTTTAAAAATTCCAAGACTAAAAATTCTTCATTGGATGTTTTAAATTTTTCTCTAAATGAAAATATAAATATATAGTACTAGAAAGTATATCCAAAAACAGAAGAAAATGCAAGCTTCTCTTCCTCAAAATTGTCCATATTGTTGAATTTGAAGGGCTAAAAATGCACTTTAAATTCACCAAATTAAAAAAATATCAGTTTACCTTTTTACTCTACCTTTGAACTTACCAATTACATGTTTCTGCAAAACAAGATCAATGATCCGTAGACAGATATTCTCTAACTGCTGAGTAACCTAAAGACAAATTTAAATATTTAGTTTAAAATTCATCATGATAACCCTTAATCTATAAATATTAGCCCAATAAAAATACCAACGGGACTTTTTTGAGAGGAGAAGTTGACAATTCTAAATTTGAAGTGAAAAATATAACCAAGAGGGCACCCAGGTGGCTCAGTCATTAAGTGTCTGCCTTCGGCTCAGGTCACGATCCCAGAATCCTGGGATCAAGTACCACATTGGGCTCCCTGCTCGAAAGAGTGTGCCTCTCCCTCTCCCACTCCCCCTGCTTGTGTTCCTGCTCTCGCTCTCTCTCTGTCAAATAAATAAAAAAATAAAATCTTTAAAAAAATATATATATATTTATAAAACGAAGAAATTCTGAAAAGTAAACTAATGATAAAAGTGGGAGTTAAATCTGTAATAAAATTACAAATTAAGTTAGTTCCTTAGCTTATATTTTATACCAAAATAAGTTCCTAATGAATGAAAGATTTCAATGTGAAAACTTGGGCCATAAGAATACTAGAAGAAATAAAAAGAAGTTGTGTATAATCCTGAAGATGGAAAATGGCTCAAAGCACAGAAATCAGAAATAAATATATCGAGGCACTTGATTTCAAAAATTAATATCTGCATGGGGTAGGGGGAAGTCAGAGATAAATGAAAAATGGGAGGGAATTATTTTCAAATGGCATCACAAAGATCAAATTCCCTCCCATGAAATCAAATCAACAGAAAAAAAGGCAAAGGTTATGAAAAAGAAATATAAACAGACCTTAAGCTTTTAACAAGATGTTCACTCAAATACATGGTAAGAGTACAAATTCTAAGCCCCAGATTACCACTTTACACCTATCAGAATGGTAATGATCAAAAAGTATGTGGCTGGGAAGTGAGACACTGCTGTCCATTGATTTGGGAAGTGTAACTTGGCCAAGTTAGCAATATCTCTCAAGCTTACTCATAACTACATCCTTTGACCCAGCAATTCCACTTCAAGGACTTTGCTCTCCAGACATATTATTACCTGTGCAAATGACATGTAAAAGGCCATAGCAATGTTTGCGATCAGTATCGACCAAGATTCCATTTAACAAGGGACAGTTAAATTATATTCATTAATGAGGGACCGGCTGAATAAACATGACATATTATATAAAGGAATATTATGCAACTACTAAAAATATTTAACTTAAGTGACTAATATGGAAGGATCACCAAGAGACAATTCAAAAGTGGCAGATAAAAACTGTATGCTATCATTTTCGTAAAAGAAAAATACACACACGCATTTTTTTGCTTAGCTATTACAATAGAAAAAAATCTCTGGAAGGATACAAAAACTTGTAGAGGACCTACCTCCAGAGAGAATTAGATCTGGGGAGCTGGGGAAGAAGGTGAATTTTCACTATCTTTTCACATCTTTTGGATTTTTCAACATACGTTATACTAAATATTTTTTTTTTAGATTTTTATTTATTTATTTGAGAGAGAGAATGAGAGAGAGCACGAGAGGGAAGAGAGTCAGAGGGAGAAGCAGACTCCCTGCCAAGCAGGGAGTCTGATGTGGGACTCAATCCCGGGACTCCAGGATCATGACCTGAGCCGAAGGCAGTCGCTTAACCAACTGAGCCACCCAGGTGCCCTATACTAAATATTTTTTAAGTAAGCAAAAATTAAACTCCATCATGGGTTACATTTTTCATCTGAGTCTCCTATTTCAAGTTTGGGGCATATTCTCTAAATATTCAGCTTTAAAGTACTGTCTTAAATAATCAACATATTTTGCCACCAGTAGGCATGGACACCAAGAACAGTTGCCAGTTGTAAATAACTGATATGCTTATTTATCACCACATATCCCTGAAAACCAGCCCTGGAAAGAGACATATGTGCATCAACATTATTTGGAAGGATATACAATAAATGTTAACAACGACTGTTAAAAAAAAAAATAGAAAAAAATAAAGTTCCGTCTTAAAGTTCAAAGGATCCAAAAATCCCCCAGTTTAAAAATCTGTCAATATATTTAAAACCATTAAAGAAAAACTGCATATGCATAAACATCTGGTTTAGATTTCTAGTTTTGTTCTGCATACATTGTTTGTACATGTATTCATACACATGTGATTTTTCCTTTTAAGGAAAGATTCTTCTCAAAGTTTGCTTTTAATAAGTCAAAGTTCAAGATCACAGGACAGGCAGTCAGGAGACCAAGATTCCAGCCCTTGTTTTGCCTCTAATTATCTATGACCTTGGAAAAGCCACTTACTGAAGGCTTTCAGTTTTGGGGTTTTTTTCATCTGTAGGTTAGGAAGCTGGATTTGATTAGCGCTTCTCAATTTTAAACCGTGCCTCCTTTGACAATCACAGTAAGTTCACATGCTCTTTTACTTGAAATGCAAAATAAATTTAACATCAATAGTAAAAAAAATTAAAAGGAAAAGGTAAAATACTATTTTATTTTCAAACTGATCCTGCTGCTCATTTTACTACTGCCCATCCTCCACACACACATATTCTGGAAAACTGGACTAGGGGATTCTAAGGTCTCTCCAAATTTAAAATACAAGTTCTGCATATAAGGCAAAAGAATTATCCTTAAGTATACTTACTGTAATGTAATTTGGAACATCTCACTGTTCTGAATGGCCCATACAGTTTTAACAAAGATACAAAAATAAAACAAAATAACGAATATGGAAGTAAAAATTCACATTCAGCCTTTTAGGCGAAGGAGGCCTGCCCAGGAAAAGAATATCAAACTGTTTTTAAGAATCTGGTAATCAGGGGCGCCTGGGTGGCTCAGTCAATTAAGCGGCCTTCAGCTCAGGTCATGACCCCAGCGTTCTGGGATCGAGCCCACATCGGGCTCCCTGCTCGGCAGGGAGCCTGCTTCTCCCTCTCCCTCTGCCTGCCTGCTGATCCCCATGCTTGTGCTCTCTCTCTCTCTCTCTCACGATCTCTCTCTCTGTGTCAAATAAATAAATAAAAAGTCTTAAAAAAAAAAAAGAATCTGGTAATCAGGGCATCTGGGTGGCTCAGTCATTAAGCGGCTGCCTTCGGCTCAGGTCATGACCTCAGCGTCCTGGGATCGAGCCCTGCATCCGGCTCCCTGCTCAACAGGAAGCCTGCTTCTCCCTCTCCCACTCCCCCTGCTTGTGTTCCTTCTCTCGCTGTGTCTCTCTCTTTCTCTGTCAAATAACTAAAATCTTTAAAAAATAAAATAAAAAAGGGGTGCCTGGGCAGCTCAGTTGGTTAAGCGACTGCCTTCAGCTCAGGTCATGATCCTGGAGTCCCGGGATCGAGTCCCACATCGGGCTCCCTGCTCAGCAAGGAGTCTGCTTCTCCCTCTGACCCTCTTCCCTCTTGTGCTCTCTATCTCTCATTCTCTCTCTGTCAAATAAAATCTTTAAAATAAAATAAAATAAAATAAAATAAAATAAAATAAAAAAGTGTCTGCCTTTGGCTCAGGTCATGATCCCAGGGTCCTGGGATCGAGCCCCACATTAGGCTCTCTGCTCAGCCGGGAGTCTGCTTCTCCCTCTCCCACTGCCCCCGCTTGTGTTCCCTCTCTCACTGTCTCTCTCTCTCTGTCAAATAAATAAATAAAATATTTTAAAATAAAAAAAAAGAATCTGGTACTCTTCCATTGGTATGTGATAAACACAGGATAAATCAACAGCCACAGGGTTTAACAATACTATTTAAAGAACCGGCACCTGCTTCCTAAGTCACACTGTTCAAAACAGGAGCTGCCGCCATTGCCGAGCAAGTCAGCTTGAGCTTACAGAAGTAACGAACTTAAATCTGATTTAAGGAGAGGCTATGTAATGCTTAGGGAGGAGAGCAGAAGGTTTCGGGTGGAGATGAATGAATATATTATCAGAATAATCTGACTGCAAACCCAAAACTCTGTGGCTGTGAGCAAGTCTCTCAATACCACCTAAACTTGTTTTCCACTTCTCCACAGGGACACTACCATTTACTTGCTCTAGTGATTGCATAGTAACATTAGTAAAATTCTATCAGCTAATTGAGGGGAAAGCACTTAATAACTGTCTGCACAAATTCTTATCCCAATATTCTTCTGGAATTGTTTAGGAAAGATGAGGTTTTAAGCTCTTCTTCCCTTCCATTCTCATGATGTTTCTTACATTCGAATTTGTTCCATTATTTAATATCTGCCACTGTGATTGAATGGCTCTCTCTCTCTCTACCGAGAAGACTAGACTGTGGGTTCCACAAGGCAGAGCTCATGTCTTATTCAACTTGATATTCCCCAACAACCTAGCCTAGAACATAGCAGATGTGATAAACTAAATTCAGTTTAATACAAAGGAATATACTATGTATCTTACAACAATATGTAATATTCCCCCTTCAATTATTTTAGTATGTTCCTTTAATATTTGAAGGTAATTTTTAACACCTAGCAACATAACAAAATAGCAATTTTAAAGTCATGACCATTGATCATGTAAATTTCAGTTAATGTTATTACAATGACATAATAAAACATAAAGAAATCCCACCTCTTTATGATCTTCTACAACTGTCAAGATAGTATCAATAGTATGTAAAATTCCCATAGCCATTACTGTTTTGTCTTCAATTTCTTCATATTCATCACTTTGAAGAACTTTGCCAAATATCTCAGCCTATGAACATAACATACACATATTCAACAATCAGTACTGTTATAGCTATCCCTCGCTGTTGATATAAGTTAATAAAAAGGCAGGGGCACTCATCTAGATGTCAGCCTTGCTCAAACTTAAGTTACATACTTTGCCAAGTAAATCAATGACAGAAACTGTATGTTTAAAATATGGCCATTTTTTCCTTATCTAATCACCAGAGTGGAATATACATTAGTTATAAGAATTAGATAGCTAAAACTTCTGGTTATCATTAAACAAATAAATTCAAAGTCTGGGAAAAAGTGAAATCTACCAATAGTCAAATGAAAAATTTGGTAAAAGGTAGAAGACAGTCAAGAAATCACCCAGAAAATGAAACAAAAAAGACAGACATGGAAGACAGGAGAAAAAAGGTAGGAAAATTAAAGACTCGGTCCTGACCCAATATTCCGTATCAGAACTATAGAACAGGGGGAAAAAATGGTAGGGAGAAATTAATCAAATAAGTAATTCAAGAAATTGCCCAAAACTGAGTTTCCAGATTCAAAGCTCAGAAAGTGAAAGTTTAGAAGGCTCACATCAAAGCATATCATTATGAAATCCCAAAATATTACAGATGAAATGATCCCAATGTTATTAGATTTAAGTCCAACTGACCACAGAAATTAACAACTGTCAGAATTATTAGAGCAAACATTTTTATATTAACATTTCAAAGGCTTATAAAACTAAACTCCAAATTTTGGAATTTAATTTATTCAGATAAGTCAAGACTTTTTATTTTTATTATTCAAGGATGAATTTACTTTCAAACTAACATAAAACTTTGCCCATTCTTACCAAATGTTGGGTCATATCAACAGCAATTGAGGCTACTTCTTGACTATATTCACATATCATCTTCTGGATAACATTAGTAACATCATCATTTTCTGTCTCTCTAACAATGTGCAACAGCTCCTGCATGATAGGCCTTACGTGTGGCTTCATATATTCCTTAGCTAATGCAATAAAACAAACAAAATCAGTAAAAACTTAGGCATTCACAAGTGGTGAAAGGAATTAACTTGGTCACAAGGTAAAGTGACTCAGAGTAATAGATTCTTGGCAGATACTTGCTCTATGGTAAATAAGACACAAAGCTGTACCAAAATAATCTTCACCAATATATCCACTTCCCTTTAAGTAATCGGGGCATCAACACTACACATGGGAAAGAACTGTCCTACCCAAAATTTCAAAAGCTTTCATTGAGAAATTCTAATTATACAAATGCTCTATCATCAGCATGATTTATAGGACATGTATATGACATCAAGATACAAGCATAAAAAAAAATCATGTACATAAAAACTATGCCCAATATTGATGGTGCCCGTTCCCCACCACATATCCCTGTACAATATCCACTGAAACACTGTTGAATAGAAGTAAACTAGGTTCATGTTCTTCATAAAACTGAATTTACCTTCAAGGGTTAACCTGAACTTTAAACAATAATCTTCTAAACAAACAAATGATTTATCTGTGTTATCACTCACTAGAAATACCACTTGCTACTTTCACAACTAGTAGAATCATAGAATCCTAGAATTGAAAGGACTCCTGAGGCCATCTAGTCCAAGCCCGTGAATTTAAATATATGGCTATCTAACCCTTGACATATGGTGTGCCTTGCCCAAGTTGACACAGCAACCTAGTAGCACAATCAAAACTAGAGGCCAGGTCACCAGGATTCCCAGTATACCCCAGTGCCCAATGATTACCAACTTATTTCCTAATCTAAAATTTTTCTGGAAACCAGAAAAGGGGAAGAATAAAATTCTATAAAATTCTGAGGGGACAAAGGCTCAGATATTTAAACCCTGCACCTTAAGACACAGAGAATCATCCTTATTAGGGAAGGAAGTAAAGAAACTATTTGAGAAGACTATGTCAAAAATAAAAATAGAATAAACCTCCTAAACGGTATTTTTGGCTTCACCTTGTGTCTGGTTAGAAATTAATGACTGGAGAGCAAGGGCAGCTTCAACTTTGACAGGCATCTCCTTATCTTCAATCAGGCTCTTCTTTGCCAATTCAACTGCATTTCTTAGATTGAGCTCATTATGAAACTTCAAAGAACTGAATGCATGAAGTACCCAACAGGACTATGTTAGAAAAAGAAATTAAGTATGGAACTATTAGGATTATGGCATTCTATAATAAAGTCACGCATAAAGAACTTCTTACTAAGTAAAATATAGTTAACTCTACCAAGTACTGTTTGTTTTGGGAGGGTAGCATATTAGCCTTGGTTGCTAACTTCTGGATCTCCCATTTTTTTTATTTAAAAAGGCAGTTTTGGGGGCATCTGGGTGGCTCAGTTGTTAGGCGTCTGCTTTCGGCTCAGGTTGTGATCCCAGAGTCCTGGGATCAAGCCCCACATTGGGCTCCCTGCTCAGCGAGAAGTCTGCTTCTCCCTCTCCCACTCCCTCTGCTTGTGTTCCCTCTCTCGCTGTGTCTCCCTCTGGCAAGTAAATAAATAAAATCTTAAAAAAAAAAAAAGGCAGTTTTGTAACTTCTAAATTATCTATATGAATTTTTCACAAGGAAAAGAAAATGGAACCAAATTAAGTGTCTCTGAAAAAAGAAATCCTGTTCAAGCTTAATATTATGATTCATAACTAATTTGTTATTTAGTTATATGTAAGAGCTACTACAAACCAATGTTTGACTTTCTTTTGCTGGCCTTCACAGCAAACAAATGAAACATTATTTTCCCTTACTAACATCAGGACTTAGCAAGGTTCCTTTTTTTTTTGCTCATATAAGGTATGGAGAATTTTTTTTTTTAAAGATTTTTTATTTATTTATTTGCCAGAGAGAGACACAGCAAGAGGGAACACAAGCAGGAGGAATGGGAGAGGGAGAAGCAGGCCTCCCGCCGAGCAGGGAGCCCGATGCGGGGCTCGATCCCAGCACCCTGGGATCATGACCTGAGCTGAAAGCAGATGCTTAACGACTAAGCCACCCAGGCGCCCCTGAGGTATGAAGAATTTTAAACCTTCTAGAGGTTACCAAGTTTTAAACTATTAGACCACAGAATCATATTATTACTTTAATTCTCTACGTACATACAACACAATTACTGGTAATCTGAATCGCCAAAGACTTTTTAGCAAGAGAGTTACAATTCATAGAGCCTGTCAAAGACAACAGCCTACCTATAAAAAACCTGTATGCCCTCTGCACCTCTAATCTGCATGTGCCCAAATACTTCCCCAGTGAACATTGCCTTCTGTTTATAAAATGCTTTTGTGTGTAAGACATTGTTAATATATGTTCTTTATAGCAAGACATTCTTTGTGTTGATGTAGTTATAAAGATAAATACTAGGCTCTTGAATTAATGTTCTATTTTTATTTCTCCATAAAAGATACTGATTTCAGAAATAATAAGACACTTAGAACATGAATAAGTTTAAATGGATTATTTTCTCTATTTTTCTAAGGCGTATATATCAACCTAATATACAATTTATACTAATCAAGTTTTTAGCCAAACTAGAATTTCATGCTGTTTTAGACACTGAAAATTAATCAGTTTACGAATTTACATTGTATTATTGCTGTAACATCATCCCTCTCCCTGCACGTGTTACAAATGCAGCAAGTAGGGCTAGGGTGAACATTTAAAGCAGCTGGAATTAAAATCCGTAAATCCCTTATTTACTAGTTTGTTTTTTATTAGCTTGGGGGACCATAAGGGACATTCTAATTGACTTCATTTTATCCCAATATATGGTAAAAGGTCAATTTATCCAAAAACATTTAGTTCAATAATTATCTTACCAATGAAAATTTTTTTAAAGTTTATTTTTTTTAATAATCTCTACACCAGCGTGGGGCTCAAACTTACAATCCCCACGTGACCCCAACATCAAGTTGCATGCTTTTCTGACTGAGCTAGCCGGGTGCCCCTCAAATGAACACTTTAAGATACATAATGGAAAAAAAAAAGATACATAATGGAAATATGGAAAACTTACTCTAGCTCGAAGATAGCCCAGGTTAGACAATAGTAACGGAAATACATGATTCTGCAGCAACAACTCCATTTGGTCCTTGAATAAACTCTTCTGTAAGGAAGCAGAAATGAAGTTTCAACTTAGCGATGCCTTGTTCATATACAAAAATCAAAACTAATACATTATGCTTAATATACTTCTACGTACAATTTTATAAAATTATTTGACCTACATATTGAATATTTTAAAACAAGACAGAAACAGTACCTTACATATAATTTGATACTGATTGATTTTTATAGCAATAAATAACACTAGTCATTTTGTACCCTTTTTTCATATGGCAACAGTTTCACATTGAAAAACTGACAAAAGTGAAATTTTCTTTTTAATTAAAGAAACAGGTGACAGAAAAAAGGATGTTTACAGTCAACTCAATTATGCAGAAGCAGTCACAGGTTTTAAATTATTCACAACTTTCATATTCTCTCATTTGCCTGTGCTTAAGTAAATTATATTATGAGTAGCCTGACCTTCAATAAAATATCAGCCAGGGAACCAATCACATGCAGGGCTCCATCTTTCTTCCTTGGGTTAAAGTTCGGGTCTGTTAGGATTTGATAACAAAATGCCATCATTTTGGGCAACACCTAGAGAAACAGAAGAATCCATTTTAGTCTATGTGAGCTTTCACTGCCTTACTACTACAGTGTTAAGTATGATACACAAATTTTCAAAAGTAAAGCCATTTTATTGTGTTTTATCAAGCAATTATAATTAAGAAAATAACACTTTTCCCTAACTAGGACAGGAAAACATTCAAGTGACAGATTATAACGAGTAATATAATTTTTTAAATAGTAGGGGTATAACTAGTGTTTCAATTTTGGACTTAAAAAGAATAACTATATACCTCTTTTCTTTTCTTTGCAGCAGTATACAAGAGAGTCTGGGCTGCTGTGGTGGGAGAAGCATAATCTTCAAAAATATCTAGGATTTTAAAAGGTTAAACCACATTAGCAAAAATACAATTACTTATTATAGATTTTGAACCCGACTGACCACTATTCCTAAACAAAAAAATAAAACTGCCCATATACGACACTGGTTTACAGATAAAAAGGTGAAGGATATATCATCAGGGCTCCCATGCACAACAATTATTTATCAAACTCTATATGTTGTCCTTTTAAACAATCATATTAAAGAGAACAATATATATTAGGCATATCTGTTTCACTGAGGACAAAAATTTATTTAGTGCTTACTATGTGCCAGGCACTGCTCAAGGCTCTAGAGATACAAAGAACAAACAAAAAGGGTTCTCAGGTGAGAGAAAGAAACAGATTATACACATACACACACATATACACATATGGAGTGCTAGTTTAAATATGGGGTCAGGGAAAGCCTCTTTAATTCTCTGTTGGGGTAACACTTAAGCAGAAATTGAACGAAGGAGGGAGAAAACTCTACATGGAAATCTAAAGAAAGCTCTCCAAACAAAGGAAACCACAAGTGTAAAAGCCTCAGGGGACTACTAGGCCAGCATTTGGCTCTGTCAATAGGTGATTCAGCAGGTGTTCAATGGATATTTATTGAATATACACCTATTTAAAACACACCACTGAACATCATGAAAATTTTCACAAATTTCAGAACAGGCAGATATTGGAAAAGTATCTCATGTGTCCATATTTAAAGAGAAAAATAAAACCAAATCTAAGTCTGCCAAAATATAAAATACAAATGTAATAATACTAATAACTAACACGTATTGAGTGCCAGACACTATACTCATGAGATTACCTACTGTGCCCAGAACTTACTCTTTGGCAGGCACTATGCTAAGATTCTACAAGCATCTAATATTCTACTCTAAGCAGTTAAAGAAGTTAGTATACATGTATTAACCGACTTAATCCTCCCAACACTATTAATACTGCTGATTTTATAGCTGAAAACAGTGCATCTCAGAGACTAAGTAACTTGCCCACAGTCACACACTGAGAAAGGGAAGTAAGGGACCAAGACAGAATTGCACCCACACTGTCTTAATATCAAGAGCCTGCGCTCTCATAGTTTCTACCAAATCTAAAAACATTATTAATGTCAATGCATTTAGATTAAGAATACTTCATTCATACAAATAATTGTAAATGACAAAAATATAAAAAGAAAACTACATAATTGTGTAACTGTTCTTCCCTATAGTTATCCAAAAGTAAAATATACATATCAAATAGTAGGCACTATATCCTAGTCCACAAAAGAAAATGATTTTTTTCAAAAAAGCACTTCAGTCTTGAATTATCCATATTCTCTTTTAATCAATAAAATGTAAATTCTGTCAATCAACACTCACAGCTCTTTATAATTATATTTCTAAAAACTGAGATACTATCCTATTTGACATAAAGAGTAAGTGAAATAATGGTAGCTTTCTGAACACTAAAATACTCTGGTCGTTACAAAAACACAGAGGTATTATAGACAAACTAAACACTAAAGAATACCTTGAAAATAGAAGAAAGACTGGCTAATCATTCCACTCCCAGGAAAACAAAGGCATTAGGAAGGGGAAATAATAAATCATACATATGTAAAATGATTTTCAAAAGGAAACAGTAGAACGGAGGGATAAGTCAGATGTGTAAATATCGTTTCTCGTCATTTGCTTCTCGGGTACTTTGTCTCCAAGAGAAGAGGCACTCCCTCGGTTACTGAATCAAATGATACCAAATACAAAGCACTGTAAAAGCAACATAACCCAATCATCTAGCATCTCTACCAGCAGGCTTAACTCAAGTAGCCGGAGACACCTGGCCCAACAAGGGAAAAGCACTGCATTCTCACTATCTTCAACGTGCCTGGGGCAGTGCTAGTTTTATTGATTATTTATTCTAACGTTTATGGAAGGCAGACTAGAGCCAAGCACTAGTAGAGGAATGGAGAGGTAGAGAAGGGATGGAGAATGCAAAATAAAGCAAGTAAACAAGATAAAGTCCCTGCCCTCAAAAAGCACTAAGTTGCAGGAGAAAGAGGTACACAAGTAACATTCTGCTATGCGAAGTGCCTGAGTGCTCTAAGAAGCAATTAGTTTAAACCGAGGATAAAAGGGAATGAACTCAAGCGACCTACACAGTTCAGGAACTTCCAGAAAGATCCAAGTGAAAAGTTTCCTCCAGAGAACAGGGCCACACAAGGATATTCTCACTCTCTTGTGGAATACTTAGCCACTAAGATTAAGAGGCATACTAAATTGGGGTGCTCCCAAAATATGCAGAAATCCAAATAATCCCCCAGACGACGAACAACCCAATCTACAAATGGGTATCCCAAAAGGTACAGAAAGGGATGGTCCCTCCAGATCAGTATCACAACAGAAAAAGTTGTAGACAGTTCCATGACTGCTTCAGCACCCCTAAGAGGGATGACCAAGATGGCTTTCCAACATCTACATGCTAAGGCCTCAAGTCCATTGGCTCAACAGAACATCAAACTCTCATGAGTTTCAAAGTTTATCAGGCAACACAGAACTTTGGGAACTTAACAAAGTAATAAAATCAGCTTAAAAATATAAATTTAGTTATATTACTCTACATATCCAGGAACTGATGAGGAATAAAATCATCTTGATTACCAAATTTCATTCTTATGTACTCATATGGATCTTCTTGCCACAGCTCTTCATCCTCATCTTTATAACACATCACAGAAAAAATCACATCTTCAGAGATATTCTGAGAAAAAAAACAAAATAACGAATGGCTATGCGCTATTCAAATTTGGGGGCTATTAGTAACGTATTTACTGACAGCCTTTATCATGTTAGTTTTCCAGACTGTTACATTTATCTTTGTAGTAAGCTTGCACTGGCTCAGGGGAAAACGGGAAAGCAAGAGCCTGCGGGAGCAGGGGAGAAAGAGTTAAACTTAAGATTGCTTTTAAACAATAACTGATGAAAAGTATAGGGAAAGAGATGAATGGAAATGCTATTCTTTGAAGCAACAGTGGTGATTAATAAAGTTTTACTAACAAATCAATATTAAACACACCTTAATTCTTTAAGAAAGAAAAATAAATATCAAGCCAAGGTTATATTTACTATTGTGTTTCTTATTGTGAACATTTTTATATTTCCATTTTGGCCCGAAATGTCAATGTACCAGCAATATTAAAATTTCTTTTCCTCTTCCATTTTCAAAAAAATTTCCTACTCTAGAAATGTAGATTTCAGGTGGGGAAAAAAAGAAATATCTAATAGCCTCTATGTACTCTGCTGCTAAAGCTCTACTAAGCCCGTTTGTGCTTTAACAACTACATATGTAAAAATAGGATCATCTCTTCTCACGTATTCCAAATTAAATTCTAGGAGAAAAAATTCAACCGAGGGACTGGACTTTTCTCATTCCTACCTTACAGCAATGTAAAAAAATAAGGTCAAAGGCATCAAGTAAAGAAAAAAAAATCCACTCTTAATTTGTAACATAGTATATAAAATGAAATCGGTATCTTTATTAATTGCAAAGAAACTATCACTATTTGATCAAGGGGATTAGACAAATACTATTAAGATGTCCACAGAAAACAATACAAAAAATATTACATTTATAAGACCAGTAATAAGGTAACACTAAACAAATTCTATCCTGAACACCAAAGGCAAAGTAAAAGAATTTATTTTCCTTTTTAGATATTATCATAGAGATTATAGAATGTAAGAATTCTTAGTTTGAGAGGGAAAAAAATTCAGTTCCTAGCATCTTTGAATTATCCAAAATTATCTACATGCAAATAAGAATTTATTTATTAATGGCCAATAATTTTTCATTCTCATTTGTTCTTTAATTAAACAATGATGCTGAATTCTATCTTTAAGTAAACAAGTGATATAACAGAAAACTTCATATTTAATCCCCAAGAGAGATAAAAACCTTGTTAGTTCACACCTACAAAAGAAAATGACCTTGTTTCATTTCCTGCAAAATAATACTACCTTAGTAGAGTCTTGGTGACTCTTTTCAAAATGTTATCACATAAAATACCAATTTGAGCCTAGCAACCTTTAGATAGGAAGGACAGAAAAATATTACCGGACTGAACAGAAGAGAAACTGAGGCTAAATGAGACTCCAAGCAAGACCAAGTGAATCCAGGTCTTACAACTCATTAAACTTGAAGGACTCACTCTTCTCAAATACTTAAATTTCCAAGCCTGTCATATCAGATATGAGACTGCATGCATTTGAAATTATTCATGGAAATAAAAATATATTAAATATATAATATAGGATTAGTAACCTACTTTGTCTGGAGAACCTAGCTTAACCAGAGAAAAATCTTGGAGAACTATTCCCTGACACTAACCTGTATGTGTGGCTTCATCTGCTTCCAGGTGACAGAATGAACAATCCCTTGATTAAGATAGTTGAATGCTTGCTGAAGAACACGGGGGGCTACATACTCTTTCTGTCTATATTGGTCTAAAATTTTTAGTAGTACCTACAGGAAAAAAAAGTTCAGGAGAACATAAATAATTTTAAGGTTAAGGGGAGGGGCATTTTAGATATGACATAAAACCCACAATCCATAGAGATAAAAAAAAAAAAACAGATTCTGGGGGAAATCAACATTTTGTGAGAATACTCAATACTCAAGGTGTGCCTGGGTGGCTCAGTCGGTTAAGCAGCTGCCTTCGGCTCAAGTCATGATCCCAGGGTCCTGGATCGAGTCCCGCATGGGGCTCCCTGCTCGGAGGGGAGCCTGCTTCTCCCTCTCCCTCTACCTGCCTCTCTGCCTACTTGTGCTCTCTATCTCTGTCAAATAAATAAATAAAATCTTAAAAAAAAAAAGAAAACTCAAGGACAGTTTTAATTATTAGATAGGTTCATGTTATATTGAATTCAAGGGTGTCTCACTGTAGTTTCCGGCCATTTGTCCCACTTCTAACCTAGGGAACTACTCAGAATAAGCCTATACTCTATTCCATGTAACTGAGCTCTTCAAATAAGTTAAGACTCCTATTAAAAGAAATAATAACAGACTTCACTAAGTGAAAACTGAAAACAACCACAAAGCAATAGACACCATAAACAGATTGTAATATTTGATAAAGTTGCATTTCAAATTGGAAGAGGAGTGGTAAGTTATCCAAAAAATAGTATCAGAACAACAAATCAGCTCTATGAAAATAAGAAGTCGGCTGCCTAACTCAACTCCATATCAAATTTAATTCCAGATGGGGAGCTATTTCAGAAAGGTCAACAAAAAAATGAAAGCACAGGATGTCTAGAAGAAAATATTAAAGGAGCGCCTGAGTGGCTCAGTCAGTTAAGTGTCTGCCTTCGGCTCAGGTCATGATCCCAGGGTCCCACATCAGGCTCCCTGCTTAGCGGGGAGCCTGCTTCTCCCTCTGCCCCTCCCCCTGCTATGTGCTCTCACTCTCTCTCTCTCTCTCAAATAAATAAGATCTTAAAAAAGGGGGGGGAGCTGCGCCTGGGTGGCTCAATCAGTTAAGCGTCTGCCTTTGGCTCAGGTCATGATCCTGGAGTCCCAGGATCGAGTCCCACATTGGGCCCCCTGCTCAATGAGGAGTCTGCTTCTCCCTCTTAACCTCCCCCCATCATGTGCTCTCTCTCTCTCTCTCTCAAATAAATAAAATCTTTAAAAATAAAAATAAAGAAAATAGAAAATATCGAAGAATTTTATTTTGTAATCTCAGACCACAGATAGTCTTTGTAAACATAACACAAAACTGAAAAGTTATTTTTTAAGACTTATTTAAAAAAAAAAATTATTTATGAGGAAGGAACCATGCCCAAAGCAGCTGTGACTGTCCCAAGGATCCTCCATCAGAGGTTGCACTACAACAAAGTCCAAATCTTCCAATTCCTGGTCCCAGAGCATGTCATTATAGCAAGCTTAAAACTGAACTGCTGAATAAATAAAGAGTTCTTTCAAAACATGTACAGAATTTATAAACTCAGAATGAATTCAGTTCAAGTTATGTAAAATTCAGGTTCGTCAAAGTTGTCAGAAGTCCCACCATCACTTAGATGCCCTTTCTGCGATGCAAGCTACAGGTGGATGCTATTGCACATGCTTCTTCCTAAGACAGCTGTGGCTTCTACGAGGTGGAGGTGGTGGGAGAGGAAACAACAGTGAAGGGGAGAACAGTTTTTCATAGGAAAACAATTTTTAAATACTAGGAATATATACCTTAAGTAACCAAGGTACAAATAGTTTATGACATGGATGAAAGGCCATGAAATCTGAAAGTGTACGTATGTACAACATACATATGTTTAGGTGGCCCTGGAAAAACTGGGCTGAGCACACTTCAAGAGGGCATCAACTTTAGGATGCTTACTGAGTGTAACAGCAGTGGAAACAGCAGAAGACAGAGCTGACCCACTTCCTGATTATCCTAGTTTCCACAGAGAATGGCTGAACAGATCATTTTATTCACTAATTTTCATTAGTTCATTAACAGATCATTATTCTAATTTTCCCTACAGACTGCCTTATGGGCCAACAAAATAATTTGTGAGAAAATTACAGCCATAGTTTCCTGAATTGTTGCAAGGTACTTTTTTAGAAATGATCATCCATAAAAGGAAGTATTCCATCTATGATGACAGCACTGAAGTATTTAACTTGATATCACTGACAATAAAGAAGACTAATATGCACAGATTTATAAAAATCTAGAAACACCCTCTATATCATTAATGGCTTTTTTTTTTTTTAAGATTTTATTTATTTATTCATGAGAGACAGAGAGAGAGAGAGAGGCAGAGGGAGAAGCAGGCTCCCAAGGAGCAGGGAGCCCGATGCGGGACTTGATCCCAGCACTCTGGGACCATGACCTGAGCCGAAGGCAGACGCCCAACCATCTGATGTTTGATTAATCTTTGCTTCCTCACTGCGGTCTTGATACAGCCAGTGCTGGAATAGTTATTAAACTTCATTTGTTGAAATATAAAGAAAAATGTGACTTAAATGGCAATACAGGTCAACCAATTTTCACACCCAAATGTCCTTTGTAAGTTTTAAATATTAATACCAACTTCGATTATTTCCCAAGAACTAATTTTCACTGTACAGAATGGTTCCCAAACTTCCACAAAAATGTGTAAGTTCTCAGCTGAAGGTCTTAACTTCCGAGCTCCAACCCTCTTGAAACAGATCAATTCATTACAAAAATCTTCTGATATAAAAGCTTAGAACAAAGAGGTGAGGATCAAAGGAATAGAGAATAAGAAACCCATAAGAGGTCAGAGAGTTAACAGAAGAACCCAATCTAAGTACTGGCCACTGTGACATCAGTATCAACAAGCTTAAAAGGCTTGAGTCTAGCATCTAGGAGTTTGGAAGGACACTTCTTGTGGAAGCTACCCTAGGACATTTGGTTCTAAAACTGATTGCACTGTATTAGATTCCCAGAGCTGCCATTTCATCCCCTATTAATATATAATGTATTAATATGTCCATAATCTACTTTTAAATGGATAGAAAGGACTTAACTTTCTTTTTTTTTTAAAGATTTTATTTATTTATTTGAGAGAGAGAGTGCAAGAGAGCACACAAGCGGGGGGAGAGGGGCAGAGAGAGAAAGAGAAGCAGACTCCCTGCTGAGCAGGGAGCCCGATACAGGGCTCAATATGGGGCTCAATCCGGGGACTCCAGGATCATGATCTGAGCCGAAGGCAGACGCTTAACTGCAACACCGAGGTGCCCCGACCTAACTACTTTCAATAATAAGCATTTCCATTTAAAAAGCATATGTTTATTACCTGCTGAATTCCCACTGCATAGGTTTTCAAAAAGAATTCAGAAAATTCAAAGTATTCTTTTGTGACATTTCCTGGGCTTCCATATCTTAAAATACAAAGAGAAAATGTTTAAATACTACAAATTTTTAAAACAAAGCATGCTCACTAGTTTAAATACAGTCCCTTGCTGAAAGATCTATGGGGGGCAGAAAACTAACACTTTCCCCTTTTCCACAAGCCCCAAGATGAAATCATGATGAGCTTGTACTTAGATTCTGGGCCACACTTAAAATTTCAGACAGAGGCTTCCACCTACTTAACGAAGAGTTTCTAAAGGGCACATATTACAAATAAAAATGTTATATCTGACTTTTTTAAATAAATGTTTCTGTAATTCAATTTGACTAACTTTCCTCTGGAGCTGAGTAGCCATGCACCTTCCTGTACAATTCCTACATATTTCCAATGAGCTAAACAATGTCATGTCTCCATTCTTTTCTCACAGAAGAACAGAAAGATCCAGAGAAGACTGTCCACATCATTATGATCTCAAAGCCAACGGAAAGTTAAGCCTACCTTAAAAGAGAAGGTGACTTTTTTTTTTTTTGGCCCACTATGGCTTTTAAAGACAAATAATGACCTACTGTGGAGCATCAAGGGACCTATCCAGTTTTATTACATCCAATGCTGAGGTATTGATCATAAGATCATAAATCTAATAAACAGAATTACCGTTCGAAGAGACGAGCTACAATATGCAGTGCCCATTTCTTACACTTCCACCAGACTAGTTCTGGTCTATCATCCTCATCAATCTGCAGAGTCTCCTAAGAGGACAGAAACATCCAGATTAAATTTCTGAATAAAAAGGTTTATGCAAACAACAAAGGCAGAATAAATCTTGTTATAGATTAAATAATACTAAATGTGAGTTTAGATTGCAAAAGCAAATTCTTACTTACAGACTGCTACGTAGGAATTAAATAAGCAAAGCAAATTTCAACTAACTAATGCTGTTGTTCACATTTATCTCCTATCTTCAAAAGGCCCAAATAATGGAAAACAAAATACAAAACACCATGTCCCTTGAGGAAACTCTGGAATAACAGAAAGGTTTTATATCTTGATCTGAATAATAGTAACACAGGTGTATGTTTGTCAAAATTCACTGATCTGTTCCCTAAGTTCTGTGCATTTTGTATATAAAGTAAACCTCAGTATAATTTGTCCCAATGTACGGATAAAAGAAAGAATACCGCACATTTGAAGACAAGCTTAAATTTAAAAATATGTACTTTAATTTAGTTATTTTGACTAATTATTGAGTTAATCTGGTAAGTGACATACAGCATCATTGTTATTACAGATAAAAATGAGACACCATCTTTCACCTATCAAACTGGCAAACTTAAGAACAAGTCCCTACTTATTAAAGTATAAGCCAGGGCAATGTTTCTAGAGAGCACTTTACAAGACTTGTCAAAGCCCTAAACACTTCTAGGAGTTTATCCAAAGAAAATAATCATGTATGTGCATAAATATTTAACTACATCCTTATAGTTACACTAATACCCTAAAGCCACCTAAATGTCCAGCAAATGAAACACTCCATAAAAACGACAGTTTAAAAACATTCATAATCATAAAAAATATTTATGAGATTTTAAGTGAAAATTTCAAAACAGGACCTAAATATTTTTATATTTAATATATAAATTTTTATAAATAAAATGTGGCCATATATAGACCCAGAGGAAAAAAAAGGCCAAAAGAATAAATACCAAGTTTTAAAAATGGTTTTTATCATCTTTAGTGAGATTATAGTTATTTTATTAATTTTGCTTATCTAAACTTTATAAAAATGAGTAGATATTACTATTTTTATTACAACAGCAATTTTTTTCCAACAGCAAGCCAGGATAATAAATCAGTCTACCATAAATATCCCAAACACGAGTTTTCCCAATTTTTCTCAACAAGAAGCCCTTTCTTACAGGAGGAACCGTCCTGTCAATAATAGTTCGAAAGATCTCCATCCACGCGGTCATGGTTTGGTTATTCACTAGTTGAAGAGGCAATGCATACTGAAAACAGAAGAACATCATCATCAAACAATAATACCTCCCCTCCAAAAAAGCCAGCAATTTCATCTATATTCAAAGGTTCAAATATATGAAATGGCTAACATTTGACCATGAAAATAGTAATCTCATATGGCTTAACCTAAAATTTAACTTAAAATAGATCTATAAACCTATGCAAATAAATTAAAATTTTGAAAATCCAGGGATATGTGAAATATGCATGCCATGAACTGTTTTCTCTGGGCTACTTGTTTAAATAAAAAAAACTTTAATAAAGTTTCATTTATTCAGCATGAGATTCTAGAGAAGTGATTTTTACCATTTACCCCTTTGTGTGTCAAGCTTTTCATTGTAACCACTTTTTTCCCAACTTTATTGAGATACCATTGACATATAACATTGTGTGAGCATAAGATATGCAATGTGATAATCTGATACACACACACACACCCCCACGTATGTACAGTGAAACGATTACTAAAATAAGGTCAACACCTCCTATAATTACCCTTTTTTTTATAGTGAGAACTCATTTTAACCACTTTAATGAAAATCTTTACCTCATAAACATATTCTTCAGTTACTTTCTCTACACTGCAGCATCACACCACAACTACTGTTATCACTGTGGGTCTCCCCTGTTACACCATGAGTTCCACTCCTGTAAGACACAGTGCCTCTGCGTCCATGCATTTCAAAACCTGCTACATGCTAAGGACATAATGACAAGTAAGAGGCACAGTCTCTGTCCTCACAAAGCTTACACACTCTGGGGAAAACACATATATGGACAAGGAATTACAATATGGTATGATATATAACACAGACAAAAACAGTACAATATTGTTAAAGGCACACATAAGGGGATCACCTCATCCAGGCTGGTGGCATCAGGGACATCTTTCTAGAAGTTACACACAAGCTGAGACCTGGAGAAAGAGCACGAATTGGCCAGCCATAAAGGACAAGAGTGCTCCAGACAGAACTTCAGAGGCTCAGAAAGAGAGAGGGCCTGAGCTATTCACGGAGCTGAAGGAATCCCAGTACGGCCGGAGCGCGAAGTAGACAGGTAAGAACGGTAAAGGATGAGAGAGAGATGAGGGCTGTAGGCTGTGTTGAGAAGTTCCCAGTTTCAGTGCAATGGGGAGCTGCTGGGGCTTGAGATGGCGAGCAGAGGAGGGACAGATTCTGGGTTAGTGGGTGAGTGACGAGGAGTTCACTCCTGGACAAACTGAATTCTGAAGTATGTATGGAACATCTATGTGCCCTGCACACAATAAACATTTAAGAAATGCTACTTAGACAAAGTCAATTGTGTCACGCTTTTTTTTTTTTTTTAAGATTTTATTTATTCATTTGAGACACAGAGATGCAGAGAGAGAGAGAGCATGAGCAGGGGGAGAGGCCCTTCCCTCTCCCTGCTAACCTGAAAGGAAAAAAAAAAAATCACCTCAGACCATCCTCTATTAAAAGTTTGAAAGATGAGGCGCCTGGGTGATACAGTCAGTTGAGCGTCTTACTCCTGGTTTCAACTCAGGTCTTGATCTCAGGGTGGTGAGGGTGGTGAGATCAAGCCTCGATCTCAGGGTGGTGAGGGTGGTGAGATCAAGCCTCACATCGGACTCCACGCTGAGTGCAGAGCCTGCTTGAGATTCTCTCTCCCCTCTCCCTCCTGCTCCTCCCCCCCCCCTTTTTTTTCGTTTTTTCCTTTTTTTTATTTTAACCAATTTTTTAAAAAAAAAAAGTTTAAAAGAGGAGTCTAAAAATATAAATCTTCATTGAAGTGAAATATTCTGAAACACTACAAAAGTACCTAAGGGATATGAAGCCGAGAACAAATCCAACGTCTTGGCTCTCTAGCTTGACAACACTACCCTCTCGCATGACTGATCTAATAAAAAAGCATGTAACAGAGGTCTGACTCATTCATCATCAAACACTTTACAGACTGACAACAATTATTCTTCCTCCACTCAGATCTAAATAATTTATCCAAATCTTTCAAGGATTACATTTTAAATACTTTTATATTTAAAACATTCCATCTCTGTCCTCTTCTAATTATTGTTTAGACTCTCATATTAATATTCTTTATAGCTTTCAGATAAGAAAAAGGAAGTTTTTGTTTTTTTTAAGATTTTACTTATTTTTCAACAGAAAGAGAGAGACAGCGAGAGAGGGAACACAAGCAGGGGGAGTGGGAGAGGGAGAAGCAGGCTTCCCGCGGAGCAGGGAGCCTAATGCGGGGCTCGACCCCAGGACCCTGGGATCATGACCTAAACCAAAGGCAGACGCTTAACGACTGAGCCACCCAGGTGCCCAGAAAAAGGAAGTATTTTAAATGAAGGAAAGTAAGGCACTAAATCTTTGTTGGCTTAATAAATTGGGTCAAATTACAAAGAAACTCATCAGTATGATTTCCCAGTACAAGAGGAACCCTCTTCTTTTCCTTCCCCTTCTCCTATAATCCTAACTTATCAACAGGCAGAACGCTGCTGACAGATTAGTCAGGTAATCTCAGGCAGTTAATTACTCTGGTCCTTCTCATCCAGCACTTCAGACACTGGAGTGAAAGGCACAGTCAGTGAATCTCAGCTCTGCCACTAAGATAAATTTGGACAATAAAGTAGATTTCTGTGAGCCTGTTCTGCCATAGGATTTTTCCCCCCATAGGATTTTTTTTAAAGAAATATATGTGAGACTATATAATAATTTTTAACAATAACTTGCATATATTAAGCACTTTCCATATATCAGGCAGAAATACAAGGTCCCATATTTATCTTCTGCAACAGAAACTTACCTGAACAAGTGCATAAAAGATTTTCAGAATCTGCTTTTGTAGTAAAACAGAATAATGTGAGGAATCAGGAAGGAGCTGCATGATTTGTTGCTGAATACGAGGCAGAAATATTTGCATTGCTGCTATAAGAGGCTCTCTTTCCTCTGCTTTCTTATATCTACATGAGCAAAGACAAAAAGAGAAAAAAATAATTTCTCCCCCAACAGAAGAACTATAAATAATGAATGAAAAAATATTTTTTTAAACTAGATATAGCTAACGAAATAAAAACATTCCAAAAACAGTAGCTTACATTTTCTGTTTGGATTGTCAGAATAAACTTGAAAGAAACTCTGAAAGAGCACATCCCTCTTTTAGGCAGAGAAATCTAAAATCTTTCTAGAAAGGGTTAAATTGATTTCAAAGAATTCTAGACTAGTTTGCAAATTTCCTAAGTGATTTTTTCTACTACTTAAATTAATTTTCATCACACCACAATTCTTCCTATAAAACACAAGTTGATATGCTTGTTTAAATAGACATTCCTATCATATAACAAATAATGTAGGGAAAAAATTTCTTCTTATAATATGCTAAATTGAAATGTTAAAAATAGTTTGCAAACTTAGGTGCTCTTAGATTACTTCAATTGCTCCAAGTCTCAAGTATCTTCTAAAAACTCTACAGAGTCTGAACTAGTTTTTTAAAAGGAAAACTACAGGACTCTGCATGCATAAGGAGCAACCCTCCTAGAAACCAGAAAGCAACGCTATTAAATGTGATGCTCACTAGCCTCCTACCTCCGGAGCAACTTTCATGGAAAAGAACGGTCGCTAGCAAGGAAACTTTAACATTTTCCATCCTGCATCCAAGGAGTTAAATGTTTGGTTTACTTAATAATGGGCTCACTTGAAGAACTTAAATATTAAGGTACCTCTACATGAGTTTCCAAGGAAAGCTGTTAATAAATGGGCCTCTGAAACTGGCAAATAAATTCAAGAAACACTGCATATCTTATCACTGCCTTAGAGATTAGCAACGTACTTTAGCAGATTAAAGGTTCTCTGAATAACTATAGTAAATAAACATGTTTGACTGTGCTTAACCCAATATTTCCCAAACTAACCTGATTTTGCAGAACACCCATATAGCAGACCTCTCTATGCAATTTAATTCTTTCTAAGTAACACAAGGCTGGTATCTTCAGCCAGTAGAAATCAACTTACTCATATGTCTTCACCAGTTGATACAGACATAATAAACTGCCAAGCCAGCTTCCACTGCCCTGTGATTGCAAGTAATAGTCTATCTTGTCGACTACTGCTGGCCAGTGACCAGGGAAATCATATTTAATGATGGCACGGAGACACATTGTTAACTGGACTCTGTAAGGTGGGGGGAAAAAAGTCCAAAATCTAAGTGGTTATAAATATCAGATTTCAAACACCTCTAATATTTACACAAAAGCACTCCAGCCTCTATTTACCTGTATTATATAGTTACATATCTCGGGCAGGGGAAAAAAAAAACAGTCCTGTAAAGAAAAACCTCCTCAGTAGCTCCACTTACTGAAAATAAACAGAATGGGTAATTTCCTATAATGAATGAAAATTTTGAAAAGGGATTATCCTAAATACAGCTTTGGAGGGAAAAGAGAATTTAAAGATAAAAATTCATTTAAAATTTTTCCAAAAGAAAAAAGAATGAAGACACCACTGAGCTGCAAAATTTCCCACATTGTTACCTTTTGTATTTTAGTTATCATTTCCTAAGGGGGAAACAAAACAAAACAAACAAAGTATTGTGTCATTTCAACTGGAAAAACTTAGCCTAAGAATAGTCAAAGTAGGTAAAACAGAGGCTGATAAAACAGTGGGAAGCATCTCTGTGAGCTTGAGCCAACCATTATCAGTAAATAGCCAACACAGTATGTTGCTCCTATCAAAGCTTCCTAAGACAGTAATGTTTGTCTTTTAGAATAAGAAACAAGTATTAGCTGGCAATTCTTGAAGAGGAAAGCTAAGTTATTTGTAAAGAAATAAAGAAAAAAAGCAATAAGAAAGACCTAAAACAGAGAGACTTCTCTTTAATAAAACCACAAAGTTAATAAAAGATGTGATCTCATAACATTTATGTCAGTAACCATTTCCTCAATGGGATCCCTACTATAATTGGGATTGGGGGAAAAAAAATGAGGAAAAAAATTTCTCTTCCACAAACTATCAATATGTCCTTATATGGTTGTTTGCAAATGGTCAGAAAGTGAACCTGGCTAAATCAGGATTCCATAATGCCAAAAAAAAAAAAAAAAGTGTGTGTTCAGTTGGCTAATAACTTGCATTCGCTAAAATGAAACACACAAAATAATGCCTTTTCTTTCTGTTACCAAATCCATTTGGAAAAATTTCCTTGGCCATACTCTTAAATGAACTTTGAGAACAGTTCTTCAAGACTGATTACAATTAAGCCTTCAGGACATACAAGAAGCAACTGTCTCGTGATAAAGATAAAAGTCTCCTCTTGTACCACCAGCAGTTGTTCCTGAACAATAAATCCATCCTGTGTGCAATAAAACTGAAACTTCTCATTTTTTTTTAGATTTCATCTTCAAGAGACCTCCCAATCCCTTCTTATTGCAAGCAAGCAAAGGGATGGCTATGAGCAGCCATCCTTCCATACGTTACTGTAGGAGCATCACAAGATTCAGAGAGAACTGAAAGTGTAAAGACTCGGACAAGACTCAGACACACGATGGTGTCAGAGGGGAGCCACTGCCAGGCTGGCATGTGGGCACCCACCGAGACCAACGGGGATTTTCTTTCATCAGTACACGTCCTTTCTCCTCTTACTAACAAAGGAACTGCACAAAGAGGAGTTCAATGTTTGTTCTCCTTCCTCGCTGTTCCCCTCACACTTTATTCCCTATTCCTACTGCTTATGACATAATGTACATTAGACACTCAGGGATAAAGTTATATCTCATCTCTTGATGGTAAACAATTTCATTCCCCTACCTCAGTTTCACCTCTTTCCTTCCTCCGTTTTCAACAGAAATCTAATTACTAGCTCACATGGAAAAGAATCTGCGTTTCCTATTTTAAAACTGCAAACTGTTGGGGCTCTCGGGTGGCTCAGTCGTTAAGCGTCTGCCTTCGGCTCAAGTCATGATCCCGGGGTCCTGGGATCGAGTCCCGCATCGGGCTCCTGGCTCAGCGGGAAGCCTCCTTCTCCCTCTCCCACTCCCCCTGCTTGTGTTCCCTCTCTCACTGTCTCTCTCTCTCTTTCTCTGTCAAATAAGTAAAATCTTTAAAAAATAAAATAAAATAAAAAAATAAAACTGCAAACTTTACGATTCTGCAGCTCTGCAGTGCAAGGGGGGAAGCTGCTAGCGTTACGTGCACACTTTAACCAATATTAGATTAAAAATTCGGTTCCTCAGTTTCAGTGGCCACATTCCAGGTACTGAATAGCCATGTATGTCACGTGGCTAAACACTGGACAGGGTGGATGCAGAAGATCTCCGTCATCACAGAAAGGTCTATTGGACAGTGCTGCTCTTCAGCATCTAACCTGAATTTTAAAAACCAGGGCCTGTCTTCTAGCTTATCCCTACTCTATCCTGTCTTCTCCAAAGAAAAAGATACTCAGTTCATAAAAAAATGAATGAAAAGATAGATAAAGTATAAAGAAAAGTGGTAGGTTAAAACTGCCAGGAATCAATTTCCCTGTACTGGGGGGAGAAAAGCAGTTGGTAAAAAGTAAAGAGATCATAACTAAGAACACAGGTTATTTATATAGAAGGGATTTATATAATTTTAGTTAAGTTTGATTTTTGCCTTAAGTCTTTATTGGCAACTTATGGCAACTAAATCTTTTCCAAAATATTCTGAGGCAAAGAATTACAAATGCAAAGACAAATAAGCAAAACAATATTTCTGAGTGCCCACCTTCATTACTTTACCTCTTCAGCAATACAAACTTGAAGCTGATGATTAAATACAACCTCTCCCATCCAAACATGTCATGCTTCCTACTAATCACATATAGTATAATGTACCTCACTAAATCTGGAGACCGAATTATTCCTTCCACAATGTTATCACGTATTTGCTGACGATCATTTTCATGAATGTTGAATGGAAATACTGCTTCTCCCGGTGGAGGTTCTCGGTCAGGCCAATACTGCGTCACCATGTTCTTCAAGTAAATGGCAGCTAAGGTGGAGAAAAAAATGCTAATGTAGCAGTACCGAAAAGATGGCTTTAATTCAGCTTTACAGAGCATCAAAGGCTAAGCCCTTCACTACTAAACATGATACTCAGCAAAAATGGAAAAATCTTACAATTATAAATAGCCAACTGGGGAAGGGAAAATGTATAAGAATTTAAACTCTCCCTTTAGCTAGTAAAGCAAATCTAAGCAGAAAACATTTCATTAAATCAAGCTTCAGAGTTTACAGGACAGAAAAAATGCTCCAGGAATCAAGTATATAACCTTAGACTAAATATAAGGTAGTCTAAATGAAACTCTACTAACTGCATTTTGATAGCATAAAGATTATACTGCTCCTAATGCCTAAAGCTGAGTCCACAACAGGTGAAAGTCCACCATCCTTCATGTAATACTGCTTTTCTTGTTTATTTTCTTTCACTGGCCACTATCCTGTACCACCATATTTGAAACATCGCTAATTTCTGCCTTACCCTTCTGAAATATTTACCCCTTGTAAATGTAAGAATAGGGAAAAAGACATCAACCTTTAAATATCTTTATAAAATCTCAGGAAATTTCTTACCTGTTTATTTCTATCAAAATACATAATGTTGTTCCTATTCTGTTTACCCATCTCCAACAGTTAGCCAAAGGGTTCCGAAAGAAACAAGCTGACGTACTTCAGATAGGGTTTTGATAGGGAAGGTGAAGCTTTCTAACTATCGCAGCTGAACAGTGAATATAAATACTTATAACATCATATGCTTATATATACATGATATGTAAGGATGAAGAGATGTGATCTGCAAAGCATTTTAATTTTCTTCCCTTGAGTTTCTCCTCTCCCTTCCTCCCCCACCTCACCTTCATCCCAATGTTACATAAAACTAAATTGGTTTACAGAAGCATTATGACACAGAGAATAAACCAACATGTTCTACATTGGCTATAATACAACTGAAATGTAATGAAATTATGAACTTGACAAACAGCAACTTTCAGAGAGCAAAGATACAGACATGGTAAAATCATGGACTTATTTATAATACAGTCATTAAATACCATTAATTTTACCACTAAAAGTTTTTATTATTGGGCACCATACAAGATGGCCTACAAAAAAAGGCACACTAATTTGTATATGTTAAATCCTTGGGGCTCCTGGGTGGCTCAGTCAGTTGAGCGTCTTGCCTTAGGCTCAGGCCATGGTCTCAGGGTCCTGGGATGGAGCCCCGTGTGGGGCTCCATGTTTGGCAAGGAGCCTGCTTCTCCCTCTCCCTCTGCGCAACCCCCACTTATGCACTCTCTTTCTCTCTCTCTCTAGTAAATAAATAAAATTTTTCACAAAAGTTCTTAAAAAAAAATAAATAAATCCTCAATTAGAGGCACCTGGGTGGCTCAGTCAGGGTTCTGAGATTGAGCCCCCCACTGGGCTCCACACTCAGTGAGGAGTCTGCTTGTCCCTCTCCCTTCCCACTGTGCACTCACACACATGCGCTCTCTCCCTCAAATAAATAAAATCTTTTTTAAAAAATAAATAAATCCTCAGTTAAAATAAAATTGAACTTAATATAATAAGTTAATAAGAATATTAATTTCTCTTATGGATAATCATGGATTGCTAAGAATAATGAAGAAAAAGCACCAAAGATAATTCAAACTATCAATAATCTAAAGACCTCCCTTTAATCATTTAATTAAAGTTATCTATCTAACCATTTGCCAGAGCTAACAAAACACAAATATCATCTTAATCCAGTCACATGGAAATAATTAAACTTTGTTTTTCTGCAAAATCCACCATTCCAAGCATCTTAAGTTTAAAATTAACTTTCTAAAGCATACACACAGTTCTCTCCTTCTCAAGCACAACAAATCATCACTTAAGCCCTAGGGATCCAGACTCACAACTACACAGGCCAGTCAGTCCCGTAACCTCAAAGGGGAAAGGATGCCAGTAGGAACTCAATGAAGCACAACGCTGTGCTTTCTGAGTTGATGTTTCCAAGCTTTTCCATTTTTCATTGTAATTTGATAGTCCCTCTCTCTCTTATTAATCTGTTAAAGGCTAGGAAATCAAATAGCGTATGTAAATTATATCCAAAACAAGATTAAGTAGATTCTGAGTAAGAGCCAAGGAGCTTCCTACATATAAGACACATGAGTTTAAATGAAAGAGTTTCTTGTAATGCTTCTGGACTGATCAGAGGCATCCTTCCAGTTTTTTCTAGGTTCTGTATTCTAGAACACTGAGGTTAACCTTAAAGAATAACTTGTGAATAACTTAGCTATAAGCTGAATTTTTATATCCCTCCCTATCCTTTTAGAAATATATACAAAAGTCAGAAAACAAAAAGCAAGCAACTTACAGAAAACAGAACCCATGCTGTTTTTCAAATGAGGGTCCCCACATCAGTCACCAACAATGACTTCATCAGGTCTAATATAACACCCAACCCTCAACTACCACTTTTATTTATTTACTTTTTAATCTTTTTTTAAAAGTTTTATGTTTAAGTAATCTCCACACCCAACGTGGGGCTCAAACTTATAACCCCAAGATCAAGAGTCGCACGCTCTAGTGACTGGGCCAGCCACGTGTCCCTCAACTACCACTTTCAAGTCCAAACTACTTTCCTGCTCATAGCAACTCCAAAATGTACTAAAGAAACTACATTTCTGAAACTAGGTTTATGTATATTAGAGGGTCTCCTCACAGGCAAGGAATAAAAAACTGGAAACAAAGTCACCTGAGAGATTCTTAATCCTAACTAAATTTAAGATGGGTTCCTTTCTCTGTACATTACATAATAATATTAATAATGCTATTATGCCTCTTAATACCTCAAAAGGAAAATAACAGGACACCCAAATTTATTTTGTTCTGCTTACCAATATCAAAATATTACATTTTTTTCCTATTTCTTCACAGTAAAGTAATAAGGGACATTCACTAATGAGCTTGATTGATGGTAGCAAGAATATTTTAGGATTGCCCACAAGCCAAATAATCAAGAACTGAATATTCTGCAGAACTATGTCTTTCCACTTAATATTAGCATAATTTTTTACAGTTTTATGCATGCTGACTTTTTTTTAAAGCAAAGATCACATCATTCTTTTTTAAATGTCATGATAAAATGATAAATTACCCGTCTGCGTGTTACCATAAGGTTCTTGGGGCATCTTTGTATTTTAATAATAGATTAAATAGGACAGAAAATTTATAAGTTTAGGATAGATATAATGTAGAATTTTATACTGTGTATTTCAGATTCAATGATAAAATGGATGCTCTGAGAGAAAACTGTCCTATTAAAAAATTAACCAAGATAAACTCTGTCCTGTGACTAACAGATTTGAAATCTACATAAATTATGAAGAAAAACTGCCTGTAAATGCTATTTACATTTCATAACAAAACTTAGTTATCTAAGTTATTAAGATTCAAAGTTGTATAGAGGATATGAGGAAACTAGCATTATTGCAGTTATGATACAAAAAGTAAGCAAAAGCAACTTGGTGAGAAGATTCAAAATTCAAAATTTAAATATCATTAACATCCTACAAGTAACCAGAGAAAAATGTCCAAGGATTCTGATTTTTTTTTTGAAGATTTTATTTATTCATTTGACAAAGAGAAACACAGCAAGAGAGGGAACACAAGCAGGGGGAGTGGGAGAGGGAGAAGCAGGCTTCCCGCTGAGCCAGGGAGCCCGATGTGGGGCTCGATCCCAGGACCCTGGGATCATGACCTGAGCCGAAGGCAGACACTCAACAACTGAGCACCCAGGTGCACCTCCAAGGATTCTGATTATAGCTTAGCCTCTATCAACAACAACAACAAAAAAGAACAATAAAGGAAATATCCATAAATATCAAATTGTTTAAATAAACTAAAGTAGCTCTGTATAAAGAAATAATGAACAATTGTTATAAAGAATAAAGTACATATATATGCGTATACACTGATATGGAACAACCCCCCAAGGGTATATGGTTCAATGGGGAAAAAAAAGTTATAAAACACCGTGTGGAGTAAAAACAGATTTTTGATACATTTTTTCCTATTTTTTAAATATATATATATATTTTTTATTATGTTATGCTAGTCACATACAGTACATCACTAGTTTTTGATGTAGTGTTCCATGATTCATCGTTTGCGTATAACACCCAGTGCTCCATGCAGTACATGCCCTCCTTAATACCCATCACCGGGCTAACCCATCCCCCCACCCCCCTCTCCTCTAAAACCCTCAGTTTGTTTCTCAAAGTCCACAGTCTCTCATGGTTCGTCTCCCCCTCCGATTTCCCCCCCTTCATTTTTCCCTTCCTTCCCCTAATGTCCTCCATGCTCTTCCTTATGTTGCACAAATAAGTGAAACCGTATGATGATTGACTTTCTCTGCTTGACTTATTTCACTTAGCATAATCTCCTCCAGTCCCATCCATGTTGATGCAAAAGTTGGGTATTCATCCTTTCTGATGGCTGAGTAATATTCCATTGTATATATGGACCACATCTTCTTTACATTTTAAAACCATCATATCTATAGGAAAAAAAGGAATTGGAGAACCTTGCACCAAAGTTGATGGCAGCTATCTTTGAGGGTGTAATTAAGGGCAATCCAATGAGTTTTTATAATGTTCATATGTCGTGTAAAGAAGACATATTAAGTCAATAAACTGCTTTAAAAATATTTAAAAATACTGTTTCTCCAAAGCTTCACAGGACCTCCACGATGGCCCTATAAACACTCAGATTATTAAAATAGTTTCCATGGGGCACTTGGGTGGCACTGATCAGTCGTTAGGCATCTGCCTTCGGCTCAGGTCATGATCCCAGGGTCCTGGGATCAAGCCCCGCATCGGGCTCCCTGCTCCACTTGAAGCCTGTTCTCCCTCTCCCACTCCCCCTGCTTGTGTTCCCTCTCTCCCTATGTCTCTGTCAAAAAAAATAAATAAAATCTTAAATAAATATAAATAAAATAGTTCCATTTAGCAAAATGTGATTTCAGAACAGCCCTATTTCATAAAACAAAGATTAAACAACTGAGAGTTATGGTTTCAAAAAACAAGAAGTCTTATAAACCTTATTAAAATAACAAATAATTGCAACATGTAGGTTTTTCCATAAGTTTTTCTTAACAACAAAGGGAATCATACATATTGCTACAAGTATTTTCCCAAAGCTAATGATTCCTTACCTTTTTTTTTATGTTCAAGGAAAATTAAATACCTTTTTTTTTTTGTTCAAGGAAAATTAAATACTTTTATCAACATAGAGAGTATAATCCTATCTGTATAAAACTGTTGATCTCTCCTTCTACCTGAACCTGCAAAGACTAACGTTCCCCGAATGTTAAGGATGGCCATTTCTGAGCAATGAATATTGGGTAAATTTTTTTACTTTCATCTTTGTATTTTTCTGTATTGCCCAAATTATTTATAATGAATATAAATCAAGTGACCTAATAAAAAAATTTTTTAAATATCTACTTTTTAAATTAGCATTTGTCATTTTACTCTGTTTATCTTGAAATTACTATCTTTTCAGACTCATGACACTCCAAGACTTTCTCCATTTTATACCTTCTGGGCTCTAATGATCAGCTCATTACAAAGGCAAAAAGAGGAAGGCACAACGTCATGGAACTACCATAAGGTTCCACAGACTTGAGAGTAAGTCTCATGTTTAAAATAAAAGTCCTGTTCCCCAAACATGTGTTTAGGAACATCTGTGCACGTATTACCTCCATGATCTGACTTATGAATGGAGCTCAAATCCACATACATAAATTCACGGTCTTCATCTATGGACACAAAGGGTGGGCCACCAGGAATCATAAAGAATTAGGGAGATTAAGCCATTGAAATTGTGAAAGCTAAGGGGGGGAAACGGCAAAGTTACAGAGGCAAGGAATCGGTAGGTAAAAAGGATAGAAAGAGAGGAAAAGCTAGGGAAGATGTAAGAGCTCAGTATCACCTCTAAATTTCCAGGGAAAAAGAAAGTGAGTTTTTAAGCCATTAGAAATACTTTATGTGTGCTTCCTATTTTTTAAAGAAATCACAGAAATAAATAATTTTACAAAGGATGAAAAACCTACTCACCTGCCTGGCGTACTGGGAATTCCACATGGTCAGACACTATAATCCGAAGTAAACTGGGGGCAAAATTGATAATCTTGTAGGACTGAAATTACAAAGAAATATTTATAAAATAGGCCAATATAAATGAGTAACTGTTAGCACTGTTACTGAATACATTACTATCCAAATAAAAGGAAAAGTTTTAAAGTGAGAGAAATTCTCCAAGGCAAAAATAAGATTACTGAAATACTTCAAATCAAAATTGGAATAAACTGATGAACAAAGGGGTATGAATATTTTTGTTTTTTAACTTATATTGTCAAAATGCTCTCCAGAAAGTGTGTAGCAATTTACACTCCCAAAAGTAATATATACCTACTTATCCAATACAAGGTTTAGCATTATCATTCCTTCAAAATTGACTCATATTTTAAATTACATTTCTGCTAAGTTAAAATTTATCCTTCCTGTTGGCTATTTGTTTTCTTCTGCAAATTTCTTATTCCCTTTATCCTTTTTGGAACAGAATATTTGTTTCATTCTTAATAAATCCTAAGAGCTATTTATAAATTTAAAATCTTAACCTTTTATTGGACCTATACATTGCAAGTGTTTCTTCCCAGCTTATTTGTACTTTAATTTTGCTTATGGTATTTTTGACAAACAGAAACATGGAAAACATGGGCTACAGAAAACAGCAGATCCAACATTGGAAAACAGACAAGATAATGAGAATTATCTGTGCATGAGCTATGGAGAAGAACCAGTCCAGGTTGGAACAATGTGCCTCACAAGACAGTGTGGAGAGTTGTCATCACCAGCTGCCCTCTGTTGGTGGAGCACCCTTTATTTTATTTTATTTTTAAGATTTTATTTATTTATTTGTCAGAGAGAGAGAGCATAAGCAGGGGGAGCGGCAGGCAGAAGAAGAAGCAGGCTCCCCGCTGAGCAAGGAGCCCAACTCAGGGCTGGATCCTGGGACCCTGGGATCATGACCTGAGCCAAAGGCAGACGCTTAACCAACTGAGTCAGCCAGGCGCCCAGTGGAGCATCTTTAAACCTGACACCCAAATGAGCCTGTGCTGACGTGCCTGCTGCCTGGGTCACTCCCCCCCACACACACACAAGTTCTACTTTGACCTACTCCTGAGTTTGGACATGCTGATTTTAGAATTAAAAAAAAAAAAAAAAAATACAGAGCAGCCGGTTCCTTCTGATAATACTCCCTCTAAATGTCTAGTACCTGGACCAGGTTACCATTCTGCCACATTCCCAGAGCTTATACTTGGCCTTGCCCGCTGACATTCCCAGAAAAGACTCATAAATTCTCAGTAAGGCTAAAGCCGACAGTGATAAAGAGGGAATGTTCAGCTTCCCTTCTCCCAGAAGCCTGGACTTACAGTGGCATCCTTTTCAACATATCACTAGGTTTATGTATACCACTCAACCTTTTTAATTTATCACCTTTCCTACTCATTTATTCATAATAGCATTAATAAGATAAATGTTTGACTAAAAAATCTGGAGAAAAATGGTATCTTAAAAATGTCGATCTTTTCCATCCAAGAATATTTTGCTTTCCAAATCTTTCTATAAAATTTTGAATTATTGGGGTGCCTGGGTGGCTCAGTCGTTGAGCGTCTGCCTTTGGCTCAGGTCATGGTCCCAGGGTCCTGGGATCAAGCCCCGCATCGGATTCCCTGCTCAGCAGGAAGCCTGCTTCTCCCTCTCCCCCTCCCCCTACTCGTGTTCCCTCTCTCGCGGTGTTTCTCTCTGTCAAATAAATAAATAAAATCTTAAAAAAAATTTTTTTAATTATCTTATAATTGTTCTTGTTTTCATCCTGTATAAAGCTCAGACTCTTAAATCTGTTGTATATAAAGTAAATTCTCTTTTATTTATAATTGAAACTACCATTTTAAAGTAATTTTTAGGGCGCCTGGGTGGCTCAGTTGGTTAAGCGACTGCCTTCGGCTCAGGTCATGATCCTGGAGTCCCGGGATCGAGTCCCACATCGGGCTCCCTGCTCGGCGGGGAGTCTGCTTCTCCCTCTGACCCTCTTCCCTTTCATGCTATCTCTCATTCTCTCTCACTCTCTCAAATAAATAAATAAAATCTTTAAGAAAAAAAAATAAAGTAATTTTTAAGAAAACAGATTTCTTTTAACAGCAGTTTACAGGAGTCAAAATTAATACAGATTTAGCCCAATCTTCTAACCTTCTATGTGTAATTATAAAATAACTCATGTTTGTAACATTTGAGATACAGAAAGATCCTATAGTGAATCACAGACTAAAGCATCCATAGTTTAGTTCTAATCTCTATAGTTTAGATACTTATTGCACATAAGTACAAAATAACCTGTACACTTAGATTAATGGTACCTATTTTAAAGCAGTTATTGTGGAGACTACTTTCATTTCAACACTGTTGCCTTTGTACACATATTGGAACTCCTCTTTTTGCAACTGCCTGCCATTTCAATGACCTTGTGCAACTTTTTGTCTTCTGCTTTCAGCCTTGATTCAAACTATGTTAATTTGGCCAGCTAAAACATCCAGGAGTAAATTCAGATAAAGTCTCATACTACTTTCCACACAAGTATTTAATCCAATTTCTTTTCCAACTTGGGGTTCAAGTTTCCAAGAAAAAAAAAAGACATTTCTCGATATTTACTTTCTATCTGTGGAGTTTTCTGAAAATAAAGTTTACTTAGCACAATTCTGCATTTGACGAGAACTCATTTTAAAGCAAAGACCTGCTGTCTCCCATTCTCTGCCTCAGTGCTCCCACTACATTACCTTTTCTAGTGCTCCAACATGCCAAGTTGAAGGCCTTTACTGGACTTGCTCTTCCCTCTGTTTCTCTCCCAGTTCTTCACCTGGTTCACTCCTTCACAACATCTAGGTCTCTGCTCAGTGTCATTCTTCAGAGAATGACCACCCCATTTATACACTCCAACGCTGTCTCTCCGGGACTTTACTATCTATTGCACTTATGACCTGATATTATTTACTTGTCTCTATTCCCCACTAGAATGCAAGCTCTGTGAGAGCAGAGCCTTGGATTAGTGTCTGCATTAGAACTCAATAAATATGTTATTCATATAAGCAAACTTGCTTAAAGGGCAATAAAAATGATATAGACAGATGCATGGAAAAGCAGAGATTCCAAAGCTCGGCAATGAAAGTAATTATTTTTATTTCCCTATTGAGGCCATGTGGAGAATGCTTTATTAAAAGAAGATACCTTTGTGGATGAGTTACTGGAGCAAGATAGCTACCCATTCCTACTTCCCTTTGCAGGTGCTAAAGGGACTGCTGGGCGTACAGACAAGGAGGAATGCGCACAGGATGCATTCTTAATATCCTGAGATAAAACTGAAAATGCGTTCTCTGGGGACCCCTGGGTGGCTCAGTTGGTTAAGCATCCAACTCTTGGTTTCGGCTCAGCTTGCGATCTCAGGGTCATGAGATGGAGCCCCATGTCGGGCTCCAGGCTCAGTGCAGTCCGCTCAAGTTTCTCTCTCTCTCCCTCTGCCCCTCCCCATGCTCACAAGCTCTCTATCTCTCTCTCTCAAATAAATAAATCTTTTTTAAAAAAAGAAAAAGAAAAAATGAAAATGCATTTTCCCATAGAAACAATATCACACACAGCAATCAAGGAACCAATCACTGGTAACAGAAATATGTTGGCTAGAGAAAAATACAGCTCCAAACAAGAATTTATCCTTCAGAACAGAGGCTGTTATGTTTTGAAACTGCCTACTCTTCTACAAGGCAATTGGTAAATCATCAGTACACTGCAGAAGCTGCCCCCACTTCCCACGCAGAGCATATTTGCTGAGAGGGGACCTAGACTAAAATAAACTAGCTGGACCCTAATCACTTATGGTAGATTACCCACCCATTTGTCCAACAAAGCAGGATATTACAGTGGTGGTAAAGAATAAGCATACAAAACCCAACATTATAGCCGTATTTTACTATACAGTTATGTGACTTTATACTTGTCTTCTACTTACAGACAATTTAAAAAAAATACTTAGTAAGAGCATATTACAACACAAAGCATTATACAAAATATAAGTGTTCAATGAGTGGCATAGCAATAAGCTACTTTTAGAAGTTGCAGAGGAAATTATGGTCTGTGATGAAATGGGTGGATATGGGGCAGGGCAGAGTGAGGATGAAATGGGTTTGAACTGAAATACTATGAAGAAAAATGTAGAATTGGGTCCCAAGTGTCTCTTCTAGTTCTGCAGGCTTCCCCACCAACCTTTCCCCTTCTCTACAGTCAACTGCACTTATACACTGATGAATCAGAAACAAAGCAAGGATAGGCTAACAGAGGCAGGAAGGTATAACATGATATCAAAGATATCCCTACTGACACTATCAAAATAACATCTGGCCTCATTGTAAAGAGAAGGGGGTCACAAACAGGCCAACTCCCCTGTTCATACTAATAGATGCAAGTTCAGCTCTTGCTTTGTTCCTTCTAACCAACCCCTGGATTACTACTATTCTTCTAGCCAATCACCATATAGTACCTCTGCTCTGCAAAGCCTGGGACAGGTACTGACTTTAACCTCCCCTATTCTGAATAAGAGTCCTTTTCTTTTTGAGGTAACAACACATTCTCTTTAGGCTTCAGTTTAATTCAACCTTCTCTCCAGTGTTTTCACTCTCCCTTTATCTCTTGGGGATCCTGATTCACACTTAACTCCAAACACCATCCAGATTTCCCACTGGATTTCAAAGATTTAAAATGCACAGCTGCACTTTAAAGTCAAATCCAACTAGGGAAAACCTTAGTGAACTCCCACAGAAACTTTTACTTAAGACAACTGTTCTCACACTTCAGGAAGCACAGAATCATCTAGCTAGCTAATTAAAACATAATTGGGACCCACCCCCAGAGTTTCAGATTCTCTAAATGCGAAGCCCAATAATTTCCATTTCCAACAAGTTCCCAGGTGATGTAGATGCTGCTCATCCTGGGCAACACTTTGAAAACCACTAATTTAGGTATATTCCTTTATATTTTAAGGATTGCCCCAACCTCAACCAGCTGTCACCCTACCCTGGGGAGTGGACCTTAATTCGTACTTTTTAGTAAGAGGTCTATCATTCATTCTTACAGGTGAGGAGGGAAAACATGAGCTAAATTTTGGGATCACTACAATTTCGAAATGCCCGTGGTAACGCTGGAACAAGGTCAGGACCAGTAAGAAGAACACATGATGGAAGATAAAAGAAAGTCTTACACATTTTAGCGCTCATAAGAAATCCCTCCAAACGCATATTACTCGACTTATCTTTTATAAAATAGTACCACGATGAAAACTGCCTCCCCTGCACTCTCCCGGCAGCACTTCCCAGCGCTCCAACACAACTCTGCCAATCAGTGTCAAGAGTCCTGCCAACCCCACAGAAGCAGGCGATGGGCAGGGTTTCCCACCGCAACACTTAAAAAAGGCTGGGTCTGGAGAAAAGCTGAACTCAGATTTGAATTTCAAGTGAATTTTCCCACCCTCGTCCCTAAATCAGCGTACTTAGGGAATCACACCCTGCAAACACTAGCAAAGCTTTCCAAAGCCTCTTTCTGCGGATCAAGGGGACTGAACAAACTGCACTAGGAAAGGAAAACGACACGAAAAGATGCAAAGGTGGCCAACAGGTGCGCGAGTTATTCAGAAAAGATCCGGGGAGTGCAGCTAAACTGGACCCCGGGGCGGGGGGCGGGCCGGGCCGAGACTAGCTCCAGGGTCCGGAGCCCCGGTTGGGGTGGAGATCAGGGGCACAGAGGAGAGCCGGGCGAGCCCGCGGGGGGCGCCAAGTGGGCGTCGCAGGCCCGCTCCTCACCTGGTTGAGCTCATTCTCAGCTGCAATCCGCAGCTTCGGGTCGATGGTGCCCTTCAGCGCCTGGATGATCCGGTTGAGGTCCATCTCCCCGGGTGGGGGCTCCGCGGCCCCCGGACCAGTAGGCCAGACAGCAGCTTTAGTTTTTCTTTTGACCCTCTCAGCCTCCTCCTCCGCGACCCCTGGACTACCTCACTCCCCACCCCCCGCCACCGTCGCCACCTGCAGCCACTTGCTGCGCCACTCTGACTCCGCGCCCCCTGTCCTCCCTTTCTACCCCCCACAACTCGCTCTCCATTCACCCTTTTACGACAGCCGGTGGGAGGCGGGAGAAGTGAGAAGAGGAAGCGGCCCTTCCTTTACGGCGGCCTCTTCCCCAGGGCGTGATGCTATGGCTGCTCCCGCAGGCGGCCCCCATGCTGCTGTACGGAAAACAGTCACTGGCTTCTTCCCGGGAGGGAAAAGCGCGCACTAGCTCCGGCAGGCGGCCGCCATGCTGCCTTACGGAAAACAGCCTCCGCTCCTTCCCAGATGAGGAAACGAGCGGGCTCGGGGTCTCTTAACAGATACTTCCTAATTAAGCATATAAAGATGGAATGGCACTTTTTGTTAGTACGAAACTGGGCATCACAACCGAACCTGTTCCAGGGCAGACTTGTTGGGAACTTAAGATCATCTAGCCCACAGTAGGACAGGGTTCCCTTGATCTATGGGAGCCATCATTCATTCATTCATTCATTCACTGAATATTTGTTAAACATACGTTTATGGACCAGAGTACTGAGATATTTAGGTACCACATTATAACAAGATGACTGAGATGCAGGTTATTATGAAGGAACTTACAATCTGATAGAAGAGACAAATGTAAAAATATTTACAGAGTAATCGTGAAAATAAAGAGAACAAAGAAACTATGTGCCTGAGAGTTTCTGAAAGATGTCTGTACCTTCTCAGAAAAGTAGTGAAAGGCAAGAAGGATTATACAATTTCCACCCACTGTGGCCTTATCTGGCCCAATAAATTCAATCGCCTAATGGTTGCCAATGTCTCTTACTGCTTCCAGTTTTCCCCCTCTTTAGTCCATTCTCCACACTGACATCGGAGTAATGTTTCCTAAAGGTTAATACTGTCATGTCCCTTCCTTGATAACTTCCCATCAATTTTAAGATATTATTCAAACTCCTTAGCACTCCAGGGTCTTAGGAAACGTAAGTGCTTTCATCTCCACACTATTTCATTAACCCACTTTTTTGGACCTCATGATAATCTTAAGCTCCTTGACCTCTGAAATCTTAACTCCAATATCCTCTTTTCAAATTAGGACCTATTCCTCCAATCTCTCTCTCCCTCAATAATTCTTCACCTGTTTTCCAACTCAATTACTTTTTTAGTTCTCCTTAGTCTCCCCATTCCTTACTACACATACTTCTCTGCTGGTAAACTCCCAATTCAGCTTTTTTTTTTAAGATTTTATTTATTTGACAGAGACAGCGAGAGAGGGAATACAAGCAGGGGGAGAGGGAGAAGCAGGCTTCCCTCAGAGCGGAGAGCCCAATGCAGGGCTGGATCATGACCCAAGCCGAGGGCAGAAGCTTAATGACTGAGCCACCAGGTCACAGCCCAATTCAACTTCTTAAGTCTACCCTTGACCCACTATGCAAATCGACACCGCTAGAAATGTGTGTCTTTTCTTTCTTTTCTTTTTCTTTTTTTCTTTTCTTTCTTTCTTTCTTTCTTTCTTCCTTTCTTTCCTTTCTTTCTTCCTTCCTTTCTTTCTTTCTTTCTTTTTTTAATTTGTCAGAGAGGGAGAGCACAGCAGGGGGAGCGGGAGGCAGAGGGAGAAGCAGGCTCCCTGGTTTGCAAGGAGCCTGATGTGGGACTCCATCCCAGGAACCCGGGATCACAACCCAAGCTGAAGGCAGACTCCCAACAGACTGAGCCACCCAGGCGCCCCCATGTGTGTTCTTTTCTTAGGCTCAACAATCCTATTCCTTCTTTGATCAGAACGATCCTCCATTTTCCCAGCAACTGTTCCAAACCTCAAGACTCTTCTCAAACTCCCTGTTTCACAGAGCCCTGCAAAGACGAGCAAAGCCATCAGGTTCAACTCACTCAAACACAGATTAATCTCTGCTTACCCCTATTCACCTCCTTACCTCCAATCTGAACCCAATTCTCTCCCATCTCTTCTGGGACCTTGCTCAATAAATCTCCCTTTTCTATATATTTTTCATAAAAGAAATTTTGAGGGGATGCATGGGTGGCTCAGTCAGTTAAGCGTCTGCCTTCGGCTCAGGTCATTATCCCAGGGTCCTGGGATTGACCCCCTCCAAGCTCCCTGCTCAGTGGGGAGTCTGCTTCTCACTCTTTCTCTCCCTCTTCCACTCCCCCTGTTCATGTTCTCTCTCTCCCAAATAAATAAAATCTTTTAAAAAAATAAATCTTGAGTAATTGCATGCTCACAGTCGACAATTTTGTGAAATTTTTTCTTGTATTTTCAACCCCTTTCTCTCCACTGATTCGATCTCAGCCTAAAAACATTTCCCCCAGTTAAAAAACAATCTTTCTCCAATAATGCTAATTATTGTCCTCTTTCACTTTTCATTCCAAAGAATGGTCTTCATTCCTTGTCTCTACTTCTTTACTTCCCTACTCATGCTTCAATCAGCTATCCCCAGGGTTCTGCCCTCATTTCCCCCACTGAAGCTGCGGAGCAAAAATCCTTTAGATCCTTTAGATACCAAATGCAAGAGACATTTTCAGTTCTCATCTGAAAATGTCTCTCTTTGGTATCTGACACTGTATTATATGCTCTTCTTTTTTAAAAATGTTTTCTTGTTTTAAAGAATATATTTGTAATATTTTTTAAAGATTTATTTATTTGAGAATGAGAGTGCGCGCACACAGAGGGAGAGGGAGAAGCAGACTCCCTGCTGAGCAGGGAGCCTGATGCAGGGCTCATCTAAGGACCCTGGGATCATGACCTGAGCCAAAGGCAGATGCTTAACCGACTGAGCCACCCAGGTGCCCTATATTCGTAATAGTTTGAATGCTCACTTGATCACCCAAGTCTTAAACACTGGTGCTTCTCAGGACTCTTTCACCCTCTTCTCTTTCTTTTCTTTCTCTTAAACCCATTCTGCTTTTGTCATTTCATCCACTTATATAACCTTAACCATCAACTCAACCGGGACAACGCAGAAAACTGCTTCTAACCAAGATCTCCTTCCTTAAACTAGATGTATCCAAATGCCTTCCATGTTTCTACCTGGCTGTACCCAAATCCTTTAAGGCACATGTCTAAAACTGAACTGCGGTAGCACTGAAGATGGTTTGGAGTAGGGAGAGACTTGATGCAGTTATTTTAATAACATAAAAAGAGAGAAAAGACAAAAAAAAAATGGTGACACCAGAGAAACTGGATCACTCATATATTATTGGTAGGGGTTTAAAATGATACCACCTCTCTGGAAAACAGTGGTTAAGCAAACTGGCACATCTATACTTAACTACTGAGCAATAAAAAGGAATGATACATTCAACAACCAGGATGAATCTTCAGAGAATTAAGCTAAGTGAAAAAAGCCGATCCCAAAAGCTCACATTCTATCTGATTCCATTTATATAACTTTTACTAATATAACATTCTTAAATGGGGTGCCTGGGTGGCTCTGTCAGTTAAGTGTCCGACTCTTGATTTCAGCTCAGGTCTTGACCTCAGAGTCTTGATCTCAGAGTTGTGAGTTGGAGCCCCGCTTTGGGCTCATATGCTGGACATGGAGCCTACTTTAAAAAAATAAATAACATTCTTAAAATAAATCACGGAAAGAACAGATCAATGGTTGTGAGGGCTTAAATGGGGATGGGGACAAGAAGGAGAGGGGCATCACTATAACAGGGCAACATGAGGGATCCTTCTGGTGATGGATATGTTCTCTATCTTGACCATACCAACCTCAAACATCCTGGTTGTAATACTGTATCTTGTTCTACAAAATGTTGCCACCTAATTTCTAAGGAAATTAAAGGGTACACAGGATCCACGTGTATTTTCTTATAACTACATGAGAATCTACAATTATCTAGGATAAATATTTTAACAAAATGCCTAAAGAGAGTTGATGTTCCTAATAAACTTTGTGGGCTTTGGAAAGACTCAGCGAAGATAAATTACTAAAAAAACAATGCTGTGAAGTTAGCAGTGTCTAAGGCAACAGGAAAAAAAAAAACATAAGCATCTATGATTCTGCTCTCAGATTTCTTTCCAAGTATTTTAATATAGCTTTCCCTAAACTATAACTTAGGTTTAACTTATAGTTCATTGTGTTTGAGTCCCCTTTTTTAATTACATGAGAGGAGGTCTATTTCTTGATACACTAACATTATTTATGGTAGAATGTGAACCAGCTATATTGTCTTATTGTACTATCATGGTCTGCATATGCCTCACCTCTTTATACCTGTCTCCTCATCTGCTTCCAAGAGCTGTTGTAAGGACTAAGTAAGATAAGCACATTGCCCAGGGTACATGCTCAGTATTAACTATCTTTGTATTCTATTTAAAAGAGAGGACAGACCTTGTTCAACCTTTATTGAATGAGACATAGTGAGACCTAGTCTCATACTATGCCTGGTACATAAAAAGCCATCAAGAAATACTGGTTGAATGAATAAATGAATGCATGTGAGAGAGATAAGGGGTCTGAAACAGGACATCCACGATAGCAATTAAGAAGGTAAGAGATACGAGACATTTCACAGGTTGAATCAACAGGAATTTGTGACTTATACAATATATAAAGTAACAAAGGGAAGTCAAGAATGATTCTGAAATTTCAAGCTTTGATGACACATGGAACTCATTAACCGGGGCAACCCGAAGGAATATTAAAGTTTGGAGAGAAGATCAGTTTGCCTTTCAACATGCTGAACTAGAAGTGCTTAAGGGTTAGACATCTAGAGGTTTCCAGTGACAACTGGAAATCCCCATCTGGCACTCCCAAAAGAGCTAAGGCAGGGGTTCGAGGAAGGAACACAGGGATGCTGTTAAGAGAACTATGAGTCATCTGGGTATACAGGTTAGCTAGCACACAGACACGGGCATTACGCAAGAAATAAAGCATAGAGTGAGAATAACTGGCATGATTACAACTCCAGTTACAGGAAGTAGTTTTCACTCCAAGCATTGTCACTGTGGCCTTTGAGATTTAACATTTGAGTCCTCTAAATGGAGTATCACACAGCTGTGCTCCCCATCTGTTGGCGGCAGCTCATCTGCTGGTCTGTGTTACTAAGGCTTGAATCTGGTCCACACGGTAGAAAGAGAAAATGGGAGTTAAAACGCAATGCACAAAAAAAATCCTATTTGTTAAGTTTAATACATTTTTTTAAACCATGATAAATAATCTGCAAGTGAATACTTCTACCCCGAA